TCCAGGACAGGACACTGGGACCTTGGGTGTGTCGTAGGAGTCAGTGAGAGCCGGGGCCAGTCGCAAGGGGGTGAACCGTGGCTGGCGAGAAGCAGCTTGCGGAATGGGAGCTCGAATGCGAACTGTAGCAGCAGTGGTAGGTTCAATAGCAGAAAAAGGATGAAAACAGCATCAACGTCCCGGCCGTCAGTCCTGCTCGGCTGCCGTGCCTGCGAACTGTCTGTCGCCTTCAACGTTACTTCGTCTGCTGGTAGGTCGGTTTGAGCCGTGCAGAGAAGCAAGTATGGTCGCGGTCTGACGTCGGTTCGATGTTGTTTCTTCTGGCTACAGCGAACGTCCCACGGGATGAAAAGGTTGGGGTGGATGGCTGGGCTTGACAGGTTCGGTCCAGGTCCTGGTTGTCTGTGTCTCAAGGCTCAGTTTGGGACATGCCAGATCTACGAGCAAAGATAGAGCAGTTGCGTACAGGGGCATATACAGATGTGTAGGTAGGTAGAGCAATTGCAGCGTGATTTTTCTTCCGAAGTCGATGTGAGGGGGTTCGGGTCAAAGACTGGCCACGTCTGGTGGGCGCGGATGCTGTGCTGGGCTGATCACGAATCGCTTGATCGGCTGGGTGCAGTGGCTCGGATTGGATGGATCAGACGGGATGGGTCAGGTAGGTAGGGGAGGGTGGGGAGGATCTCGAACAAAGGGATAGAGGGTGACGAGGATAAGAGGATGTATAGCGAGGAGTAGGGGTGGTGAAGGAGGGGGGGAGGAGGAGGAGGTACGGTGAGGTGAGCAATGGTGGAGAGACAAGGTAAAAGCAAAGCTAGAGCAAGACGAGGGCAGGGCAGACAAGACAAACGAACGAAGATGGGATGGGGACGGGGAGAGAGCGATTGGGGATGCAACAGTGAAAACGAACCAACGAACAAGCCACCAACAATTGGACGGGCTGCACGATGCGATGGGCCAGGAAAGTGGGCAGAACAGGGTAAGGTCGTACCAGTGTGGTTGCTTCGAGTCAAGCAGCCTAGCTTGTCTGCTGGCTGGGTCGGTAGTTCCTCTACGCTGCTCGTGAGAATCCTGACTGACTCTGTGGAGGCTGACGGGGAGGCTTGAGATACCATGTACATGTAGCTCTGCCTTGGTAGCTCTGCCTTGGTTGGGCGGGGCCCTGTACGTCAAATGGAGGGGTGAGTCTTGTTCAATGGCTCGTTTGTCGATTTGCAAAATGGAAGGCAGCCAGGTCTAGATGAGCCCTGGGAAGTGTTTGAAAGCAGGCGGGACACAATGGATGAGAGGATGCACAATCGGTGATGCAATTCGGACGGTGGAGGAGGAAACAGAGGGTGGATGATGAGGGGTTGGAGGATGTGCGGGGTCGCAGACATCTGTCTGTCTCTTGCTTGGGTGAGTGGGTTGAGCGGAAATAGATAGCGTGATGGTCCGAGCTGGTGGTTGATGATGTCGTTTGCAATGTGAGGCCCTGTTGTTAGCGGAACCCAATTCGGTACTATGTCTTGGTGCTTCGAGAAGCAGTGGCTTCATGCCGTCGGCGGGCTCACTAACATCAAGGCCAGTTCAACGTGCCATCGGATGAGATCAACTGCGTGCACATCCGGAAACAGCATGCATCGCACATCGCACATCGCACATGCCAATAACTCTCATCTCAGATGACAACGATCTCAGTGTGACAGCGGACGAGCGAAGCCACCGTCGGTGGCGATGCCAATGGCGTGGGCGAGAGAGACGCCAAAACGGACAAGAGCGGAGGAGCCTGTGAGGGGAAACAGAGGATCGGCCCCCACTCTCTCTCTCCTCCCACTGGCGAGCGGCCCACATTCAAGGTCTGTTGTTGGAAGGCAGAGAAGGGACAAACGTAACCCCCTAGACCTTATGAACATCTGCTGTCTCCGAGATCCATTCACAGCATACGCAACGGGCGTCTTGTTGGTGCAGTTGTGTATACAGTAGCCTTGATTGCAGCTGCGAGTATCCGCGGCCAGGTGAGGGCCTGGTGACGAAGATGCTTGCTTTTCCGAGAGAGTCGCCGGCTCCTGACTCAATGGCCCGTCAATAAGATTGGCCGCATCCATACAATGTCCTGCATCACCGAATTCTTTAGTTCAAGGCTGCCGCATCTGTCGTAGGGTACCAGGTTTGATCTCGGCTGTGGCCCGTCCGAGCCTCCCCGAGATCGATCTCACAGCGGCCTTCTCACCTCTGACCGTTCGTCTCGCCCTGAGTCTAGCGGCTTGCGCTCCTCGACTTCCTGGGAAGAACCATGAAACGAGAAAAGACCCCCGCAAACTGGGTTACTGTTCGATCCACTGAACACACCTCTCAATCACAAAACTGCATTCTTGTCCTGCCTATTGTTAACGACATGACCCGGGCAGTAAGCAAGCATTGGCTGCAACTGCAGTGAGGGAGGGGAGGGGGAAGCTTTATCGATAAGGACCCCTGCTCGAGCCCCTCCAGCTGAGGTCTGGACCACCTCAAATCAAGGCCAAGCGACGACGATACAGGACACACGACACGCTGATCATCTTGGGTGCACATCACTTTCATCCACCGCAAATAACTCATAAGACTGTTCAACTGGACGTCACAGTCCTCAGGAGCTTGCAGCAATCTCTCGACTGCCCCTAACGTGACACACATGTAAGTTGCTGTCTGGTACTCGACCCACCCCTCTCGGCATAGGTACTGCCTAGAGCCCCTCAACTATTCCTTCTCCATCGCCTGCCGCCTTGCTGCTGACACGCCACCGCACGCGTCTGTTGAGACCTCAGAAACCCCCTTTCGTCTTTGTCCTGAGATATGATGCTTCTCCAGGCCGTGCTAACGTAATGTGCTCTTCGTAGTCTGCTCCGTCATGGTGGCTGATCAGAAAACGGCCCCCTCCCTGGGCGGAACCCAGGTTGGCGGTGGCGCCAGCGAGACGCAGCGAATTGTCAAGACGCTGAATGATCCTATCAAAAAGCATCTGAGAAGCGTATTCAACTCCACTGCCGGCGCAGACGGGCGTTGGCAGCAAGAGGAAATCGCCTCATTCTTGAAGAACGTCCAGGGCGACGCCCACGACACAGATGCTCCACCCAAGCAGCCCGGCATCGCTTCGACAGACGGCCTCAGCTACGATGAATTTCTCGCCTACATGACGTCCGCTTCTTCGGCTGTCACGGCGCCCCCGAAGGATCAGGATCTGTCATGGCCTCTCCACAGCTACTTTATCAGCTCGAGCCACAACACCTACCTCACCGGCAACCAGCTCTACAGCGAGTCCAGCACCGATGCCTACAAGAACGTCCTGCTTCGCGGCTGCAGGTGCATTGAGATTGATGTCTGGGACGGGGACGACTCGGACTCGGAGAGCTCCATCAGCAGCGACGAGGAAGGAACTGCCCCCGCAGCCTCGGCGCCCAAGAAGAAGGAGAGCCGACTCCAGAGACTCAAGGACAAGGTGCCGAATCCGCTCGCACGAAAGCTTAAACGCTTGTCGTTGACAGGCTCCGAAGCGGCCGCGAAGCCCAGCAGCAGCGAAACGAAGACCCCTGCTGCGTCCTCTGAACCCGCGACGCTGAAGAAGACACCTTCTCCGCAACTGGCTATTGTCGAGCCACGTGTGCTCCACGGGTATACCCTTACCAAGGAGGTCTCGTTCCGCGATGTCTGTGTCACCATACGCGACTACGCCTTCAAGACAACGGATACGCCGCTGATTGCTAGTCTCGAAGTGCACTGCAGCGCTGAGCAGCAGAGCATCATGGTGAAAATCATGAAAGAGGTCTGGGCCGAGCTGCTCGTTCCCACTCCCGATGCTGAGGCCACGCAGCTGCCCCAACCCGGCCAGCTGAGGAACAAGATTATCGTCAAGGTCAAGTACGCTCCTCCTGGTAGCTCACCCGGACGCGACACTCCGGACCAGGACGATGAGACGCCTGCCGATGGCAAGAAAGCCAAGCCATCCAAGATCACGCAGGAGCTCAGCGATCTGGGCTTCAACAGCCGCGGCGTCTCTTTCAAAAGCCTCGACCAGCCTGAGGCCGCCATGCCGACGCACATTTTTTCCCTCGCTGAGAAGAAGGTTATCGACGTACACGAGGAGAACAGCAAGGCTCTCTTCGCGCACAATCAGAACTACATGATGCGCGCATACCCTTCAGGCATGCGCATCAGATCCTCCAACCTTGATCCTGCCCCCTTCTGGCGCAAGGGCATCCAAATCGTGGCGCTGAACTGGCAGAGATGGGACGAAGGCATGATGCTGAACGAAGGCATGTTCGCTGGCACGCACGGCTACGTTCTCAAGCCCGAGGGCTACCGCGGCTCCAAGGGCGTCACCCACGTGGAAAATGTTGTCCCCGCCTCTCAGATCATCCGCAAGACGCTGGACTTGCAGATTGACATTCTCGCCGCGCAGAATATACCGCTGCCGCCAGGCGACGACGACGCCAAGGGCTTCAAGCCATATGTCAAGGTCGAGCTCCACATCGAGGGGCCCGAGGAGCACATCGCCGACGACGGGCAGGAGAGGGAGGGCGAGTACAAGGAGCGCACGCAGACGCTGCGCGGGCGCGATCCGGACTTTGGCGGCGAGGCGCTCAAGTTCACGGGCATCACGGGCGTGGTCGAGGAGCTCGCGTTTGTGCGCTTCACCGTTCGCGACGATGAGTTTGGCCGTGACGATCTGTCGGCGTGGGCGTGCGTCAGGCTCAACAGGCTGCGCGGTGGCTACCGTTTCGTGCACCTGTCTGACTGCGAGGGGCATCTCACCGAGGGCGTGCTGCTTGTGCGGGTGACGAAGCTTCTGCGATGAGAGCTCTCGCGTGACTTCTGAGGACACGGGAGAAGAAGTGAGAGTCTGGGAAGGGGGTTACGAAGCATGATCTGAAATGTGGAAATGACAGCATTGGGCGTCTGAGAATTATTTGAAAATGTGTCTAGGGAAATTGAAAAACAAGGTCATTACGAGTATCCTCTCGTTCATTCGCTCGCCCATCCGCTCAGACGGGGACGCCAGCCGCCTTCTCCCGCTTGGCCTCCCCCTTTTCGGCCAGCTTGGCGCTGTGCAGCTTGACGCCCGCCTTCTCCATCAGCTTGCCCGTTTTGCTGTCGCCCTTGGCCTGGCTCTGGCCGACAGGACTGACACGCGGGGCGGCGGCGTCGCCATGCGGTGTACCGGCGTGACTGGCCTCGGAGGCGATCTCTGTCGGAACCGTGCCGTCAGGGTTACGGTGCGTGGTCTCGGTGCCTTCCATCTCCGTGCCCATCGTCGTCTGCTGGTGCCGAAGCGTGGGATCCGTCAGCGAGGGCCCAGGACCGCTGGCGGGGCCGGTGCCGAGCCCGAGACCCGAGGACTGGGCGCGCTGCTCGTAGGTCGGCAGGCCAGAGGACGTGGAGGCGCCGAGGCTGGAGTCAGAATGGGTGTAGGACAGGGAGTCTGCGCCGTGCAGGCCGGAGACGTGGTGGGGCTGGAGGCGCCGGTCAGTTTCTTGGAGGTCCGAAAGGAGAATGGCAGATGCGGAACGGTGGGGGGTGGTGGGACGCACGACGTCTTGGGACATGGCAGCGTGGCGTGAGCGATAGGCCTGCGAAGTGAACCTTCTGGTCCGGGGGGCGTCTGAAAAGCTTGTGCAAGGTTTGGCGGTGCTTGGAAGGTGGAGGTTTGGTAGTATGGCTTGTGTCTTGTGTTCGGAGAGAAGCTTCCCTCCGAGGAAAAGCAGCCGGATGTACCCAAGAGATATAGTTCCTCTTCCCCTCCCCCTAATTTCAACTCGAACAGCCTTGTCAGCTCGCCATCGATGTCATATTGTCAAGCGGGCGCTGGAAGTGTGGGATGACAGGCGTGGCGCGCGTGGTGTTACGCCAGCGGCCCATTGAAAGATGACGACGCTGCTCGGGCCGAGTGGGTGTGATGGATTTGCCTCATGGAGGGTGGATATTTCAGTGCGGGTTTCTCAACCTTGTGCTTCCAAACATTCATATCGAAAGCGCATTGTCCATCTTCATCGGCCAATAATAAACTCCTGAGCCTGGTGCTCTGGCTACGGCTTGAGAGACGCCCTTCTACGGTGTACTGAGGCTTCCATTACCTGGAATCTGTAATGTTCAGTGGCAAAATGGGATATGGGAAGGACACACCCACCACCTGGTTGAGAAGGAGAGCCGCAAGATGGGACAGCCACCGGGAAAGAGTGCTCGACGGACAACATGTCGTCACGTCACAGCTCACAGTGGACTTCGGTACGTCATCTAGGAAAGGCAGGGGCCTGGCGGGTCTATGCTTCCCGACACAAGCTCCGCTTCCCCACAATTGGCTGGTGCCAGCCTCCAAGCTCTTGCCCCTTACCCCTGAAAGACCTTTCAGTACGCCAGCCCTACCTAGCTGCCTAGGTAGGTGGGATGACTACGGCGTGGACGACAGTTGAGAGGCATTCGATAACTTTATCTAGAAGATTGCGCAATTTGCTTTAAGATCTAACTTATACAAGCGGTATGTATTAGTTGTCGCTTCAGCCTACTCTGGTTCTCCTTGGAACCGATGGTGCTGCTCAGTTTCGACTTTTGCTTGCGACTCAACTAAGGCTACCTATAACGAGACAGGCTTGCAGGACGACCAAGTCGAATGGCACGGCCGCGACGGGCCGCCGACAAATACAGGTCTGACAAAATATATATCCTAGCTACCTAACAAAATCAAATCAGCCACCATTGTATCGCAGCGTCGGAAGACGACAGCGACTACGGCACCTCGAAAACAAACAGAAACCAGGCAGCCTGGACCATCATGGCACACTCTCCCATTCAATGCAGCCCTCTAGAAACTGAACTTCATCAAGGCCGGATTCAACAGAACGGGCAGCAAAAAGTGACACACGGTCACGCTCGCGAGCGGGTAGATGGAAGCAAACTCGTCGATGCGCCAGACCCGCGGGAACAGGTACATGCCGCATACCATGAGCGCCGTCATGAGGAAGCAGAAGAGGAATGTACCGCAGAAACTCTTGAGGATCTTGGGAACCTCCTCCAAGAAATTACACCGTTCCACCTCCTTGGATGTTGCGCCCCACTGGATATTGATTTCGAAGAAGTGGCAGAGGAGCGCCTTGGACACGTGAAGTGAGATGCCACCGAGAAATATGGTGAAGAGGGGAGCCCATTTGAAGTTGGAAATGACTGAGTCGTTAGCAAGCCTCTGTGTCGGGCTGATACGATGCAGGAAGGTCACTCAAAGAAGAGAGGGACACACGTACGAGCTTGTATGAGGCCCTGTTGCCCCAGCCGATAACGCAGCACAGCAAGACAGACATTGCTCGCTACAGGAAAGACGATAATAATGGCGAAATAGACCGCGAACGAATCGATATAGTACTTATCATAGTGGCCGAAAAACCAACCGGTGAGAAAGTAGTTGAGCAGGGTTAATGGCCACGATAGACCAATTGCATAGTATGTCGTGATGTATGCCATTATGGTGCACTTCTTGTAGAATGGGATATTCGACCAAGCGAACTGGCGGAATAGCGGCGTGAAGGGACCTCTGTAGGGCCACTTTCGGAGAGGATGGAACAGCAGCTCGTTCACGCCGTACGCGTACTTTTCCCAGCGCATCAATTCGTCATAGACGGTCAGTGACACGCCCTCCTTGAAGCCGTCGCCTGTGTAGGCCCCGAAGCGCAGCTGGTAGCCCGAGGTCTGCAGTCGCAACGCCATGTCAAAGTCCTCGGAGACGTGGGATTCGGACCAGAACTTTTCGCACTTGTCATGCTCGCAGATGTAGGAGGCAGCGTCCTGCAGCGCTGACCATCGCATGATAGCATTGTGCCCTACGAAGGGTGGAATGTCGCCCATGGCCACGGCAAAGGTGATGCTGGTGTAAATCAGGTTGGTAAACCAAGTAACTCTGGGGTCAAACGTCAGTAATTATCCAACGAAAAGCTCAAGTTTGAACGGCAATGGCAAAACGTACCCCTTCTCGAAAAACGAGTCGCTAACATTCATCACACCTGATGTGTACTGGATAACGGCGACCTGTGGCGATGCCTCCATCTCGCTGACGGCATCGAGGAGACAATCACTTGGGACTCTGGTATCGGAATCAATCAGGAGAATGTACTCCCCGATGCGGACGTTGCCGCCGGCCATGGTGCGTCCTTGATCCTCTTCAATGACCTTGTCCATGCATCGTCTGTATGCTTCTAACTCCGCGTCGTGATTCCATTTCTCATTGCGTTCCACGGTCAAGAGCTTGCCTTCGATCAGGTTACTGATCCTGAGGCCGTAATTCATATTCGACGCCTTCTTGAATCGCCCTCGCCGGACGAAAGCACGCGCCGTCGAGTCTTTGGGCTTGGGGTCATGCTTTGGCCGAGCCGTCCAGCCGATGTTGTGCTCGTCATAGAATTCCCGACGCATCTGCGCCTCGTCTTCAGATAGCAGTTGCATACCGTCGTCGTTGACAAAGATGTTGGCGCTCCCTCCCTGCATCTCGTATGTTGAAATGGCAGTCTTGACTGACAGAACAGTGGGCTTGATGACAGGGTTCAGGCCTTCCTTGTAGACCGGCATCTGTATAGTGACGTGGGGAAATGAACCCTGGGCTCTGTCTAGACGTCGCGGAGCCTTGCCTGAATAGTTCTGCGAGTTCTCAACAACGCAGCCAACAGGGCCTACAAGTTCAAAGATATCGGCCACGATAATGAGGAAGAAGAACTAGATCAAGTTAGCAGCAGGAACCAACAATGTATAAGAAGACCACCTACAAGACTGACGGCAATTGTGAGCGGTGCAACGATGACGAGACACATCCTCAAGTAAGAGCCGTCAACGGTCGTCTGCAGAGCCAAGGCTCTCCAACCAAGGCCGAGACAAGAGATGGAGAGGCAGAGAGCAAGAGATACAATGATGCAGCTGCTGAGCTTTAAGGGCCTCACCTCAGCGACGATGCCATTCTCCAGGTCCGCTAGTGAGATCTCTTCTGGGATAGACTCCAGCGTGTGTCCTTTCTCGGCCCGCTGGTCCAACTCCTCAGCCATATGCCAGACATATCTGACAATCATTTGCTCGATATTTTCGGCTCTTGAAAGAACCTTCTGCGGATCGTCGTCCCACACCACCAACATCGGAGGGTCCTTGACAAAGGCGGCAAAATGATGCTTGTGGCAGCTGGGGAGGTGCCTCATACTCGGGAGCACTTGGAGTTTTAGGCCATCGGATACTGGGAGCGACTGGAGGTGGTCGGGCACCCTCAGCATGATGGACTGAACAACCGGTGAGTTGACTGTGATGGCACACTGTCCCAGGTTAGTGGCTGGTCCCCGCAGGTTGGAGGGACTTACCCACGCTGACGTTTAGCTGGCGGACCATCTCGAAGAAGCCATTCGGGATCGTTTCCAGGCTGGCTGGAGCACAGATGTAGTCCCCCCGGCCCTTCTTCAGAACAGCACCTTCCTCTGGGTCAAATCCAGACGCGTAGACTCTGCGCAACTGGTCTTGCCACAGGTTCTGTACCATAATCTCTGCTCTGATGTCTGCAACATGACCCAGATCCTGTCCTGCCCAGACGGGCAAGCATGTGTCTGGCTTGTTATTGGTGCGAGGGGGCGGTTGGGAAGACTGGGACTTCAGTGAACTGGATTTTCGATGGTTTGTAGAAGACCGCCGGGAGCTCTCCGACTCGGAACGGCTTCCTGGAGTATTGATTTGGTCGACTGGGTGTTCACTAACAAAGTAGTTCCTGAGAGCCTTCATGATGAATGTGTTATCTGGGGGCTGGGGGGATTTCGAGAGAGCTACTGTGTAATTTGAGAATAGAACTGATGTAATAATGGCAGCTTCAGGTCAAGTCTGCTTTTTCTCAGAAATGAATACTATGATCAGCATTGCAACTGCGAGATGAGGAAGAACGAACCCGACTGCAGGCTACCATATCGAATGGCTTTGATAAGAGATTCAAGCATATATTAAGGTCTCGATGGCAGAACTCAGAATCCTTCTTGCAGGAGGTGACCTCCGTACGTAGCAAGCCAAGCCAATGGAGTGATTCGGGATTAGACGTGGCCATGGTTTTGGTTTGAGTGTACACATGAAGAACGCCACCGCGCTGACTGGCAGCACCACAGGTCTACCATGGTCTGTTTGCACCATCGATAGAAGCTGAAGTCATGGAATTATAGCTCTGCAGTCTGAGTGGATCGATGTAAGTGGTCTTCACGTAGGCAAGACGGGATCGAGACTGGAGCACATTGAACGTCATTTCGAGGTTCTTTGCGTTACAGTAAGATGCAGTCATGTCATAGCTATACTCGCAGTCATTGTCAAATCACCTGCATGCTCGAGAGATGCGCGATCGGCCTTGTTCGCGTCCCTGACCTTGACACCGCAGTATGGCGTTGGTCCCCTGCTACGTGGCGTCTGCGAGGCGAAATCGCAGGTCTAAGAGAATAGGTAGGAATAAAGCCACCGGAAAGAAGCTTGTTCTTCTTGGATATCTTACAAGCCTTGTTAAGAGCGAGAGCCAACGATATCAGCTGGTTCGGACATGGGAGCAATGTAGCCCGTCGGCTGAGGTAGTGGAATTCTGCCGCTTCGCGATCGGACAGACTCTGGTCATAGAGAAGTCACATGCTCGTAAGGAGAAAGCGTAAAAGGACACAGGAGGTTCTGGAGGATCCCGAGATCGAAGGCGAGCTTGAGGCTGTCGAGAGCCTCCAGGTACAGGTGGTTGATCACCGCCCCACTCATACATGCTGATAAGATAAGCCCAACTTCCAGCGAACAAATCCATGTGACGTGATGGCCTCGAGCTTCCTCCAGCAAAATGCACAACAACGCGGCCCTGAGGTGTTCGAGCACGGCGACTCTGTGACGAGGCGGACACAATGTCAGGCTACCCGACCTCTCCCCGTCGGCGCCACATTCTATCGTCAATCAACCCCGAGAACGACGACGACGAACCACCATCAAAGCGTAGAAGACGCTCCGCCAGCCCATCGCGCGACAGAGACGAAGAGAGATCGCATGCCCGCAGGGAACGCACAAGGAAAAGCGACACAGAACGAGACTCACAGAAGAACCGATCGCCCCGAGCTCGCTCGAAAGATGAGGCCCGACCCTACGAAACAGAAGAAATGTCCGGCGCGGGGGACCACAAGCCCAGAGCCAAGCGCTTCCGATTCAAGTCCTCCCATTCTCGCCCGTCGCACCGCCACGACGATGACCCGGAACACCGCGCCTCGTCGCCATCGAGACGGAAGCGTCATCGACGGAGACAGCACCGCTCTCCGACGCCGCCCGACCCGTACGCCCCGCAACCGCTCTCCCCCGACGCCGCCTTTCGCGAGTCCCTCTTCGACGCCATGGCCGACGACGAGGGCGCCGCGTACTGGGAGTCCGTGTACGGGCAGCCGGTGCACGAGTACGCGGCCGAGGCCCGCGGCGAGCTCGAGCAGATGAACGAGGAGGAATACGCGACGTACGTCCGGCGGCGCATGTGGGAGAAGACGCACGAGGGTCTGCTCGAGGAACGAGAGGCGCGGAAGAAGGCGCGGGATGCTGCTCAGGAGGCACAGGCGCGCGAGGACAGGGATGCACGCAGGCGAGAGAGGGTCAACAGGGAGATGGAGGAGAGTCTGCGGCGCGGGGAGGAAAGGAGGGCCCGGCGGGGATGGAAGGACCGGTTTGCAGAGTACGGCCGGGCCTGGGCTGCGTGGGAGGCCGATACAGGCGCCAGGGATGCCAAGGATCTTCCATGGCCTGTGGAGAGCGGGAAGAGAGCAGACGTCAGCGATGGAGCGCTCGTGCGGCCGTTTTTCGTGCTCGGATTAGATGCCGCGGGCATCGGGGAGAGGGACTTCGCGGCACGGTTGCGGGAGGAACGGGTTCGGTGGCATCCGGACAAGATTCAGCAACGGGTGGCCGGAGGTCATGTCGACCCGGAGGTGATGCGAGATGTGACGGCCGTGTTCCAAGTGGTGGACAAGCTGTGGGGGGAGACTCGCCAGAGCAAGTGAAGCAGGCTGCTTTGCGACACGATTTCTATGATACCCATCCATGCATACACCCAACATACAGACAGATACTGGCAAACGATCTCAAATTTCGTGCTTCTACGTCTACACCCGAGGAAAATCAAGCTTTGCGCCCGCTTGCCGTGGTAGGAGGCAAGACCCGCCGTCGGAAAGGACGAAGTGAAGCAGGCGTGAAGAACCGAAGACTGGGCGTCCCTCCTGTCTGGGGTGAATAAGCCTCAGCGACAGCAAGGGCGGGAGGATGCAGCAGTGTAACGTAATGGAGCGAGACAGGCCACGCAAGGCGAAGCAGCCAACACAAGAAAAGCGGCTGAAGACATGCTGCACTTGGAGGAGATGACTGGGGACGATCAACAGCAGCTCACCAGGGTCATACCGATGGGCCAAAACAGTCCACTTTACACGCACAGGCGTGTTGCTGTGTAAAATGACAAAGCTAGTATGGTATGATATGATGATAGGTCCCTCGGAGTATTTTCTCCTCCTCTTGCATGAACCACACGGTCAAGTCGAGGCCAGATACACTGGCGAGAAGCTACCCCCCCCCCCCCCCCCAACCCCTCGGTAGGCGGCTGCCGCCCCAGCCTCGTGTGGGTTGATTCTTTTGCTTCAGAGCCGCCAGTCCGTTTCAGAAGCAAGGATACACTCCAAGCTCTCTCGTTGAGAAACTCATGTCTGAATGGTTTCTCTCTCATCACCAGCCATGCCCCGGTCTCCCCATCCTCCTTCCGCGACAACGTCGCCTTGGGCCCGAAGCAAGCCCAAGGCGCTGTCACTCCATAGTCCCCCCCCCATCGTTGTTCCGATAATACAAAACGCAATGCAGCATTCGGGGGCCGGCGGTTGTCCCGTCAGCATGTCGTCAACCTGACATGGGCCCTTGTCCACATCGGTAGCAAGCACCCGAAGAGCGAGGTAAGGCGAGGCAAGAATAGAGTTACATAGCGCCCCGCCGCCACGGGCTGATGTTGGGGGGTTGTCTCTGAATGCATGCATGCAGCAGGACAGGACGCCGTGTTGACAGAGACACGCATTTGCATTGCATTTATTTATTGATTCCTCGGCCGCCAGTGTACACGACAAGAGAAGCAAGAAGGCCTTCGTGGGCCAGTGTAGTAAAGAGATTAGTAAAACAGTATAAGAACACGAGCAAAAAAAGACGCCCCTGGATTTTGAAAGAGACACACCCCCCCCCCCCCCTTGCTGTGCATGGTACGACATCGTATTCGCGGCCCCTTTTGCTTTCCTGCCGTGTCCTTTATTTTTTTCTTCCTTCCTTTCCCTCTGGTCATGTCGGGCGATGCAGCAAAAGATGATCTTTTTTGCGTCTCCACCCTCAGAGCCACTCTATGTCGCAGTCGAGCTGAGCACACCACTTTGGGGAGCGCCCAGCGCATCAGCGGGCTTGGTTGCAGGTTGGACTGGTGATGGGGATTCGTGCTGCAGACTTGGTGTTCTCCACAGATTACATCAGATCAGATCGGACGGCTGACGCGCGTTGGGGGGCGAGAAGTCGTCGCACTTGTTGCCGAGGCTGACTGTGAGTATTTTCAGGCAGGTACCTACCTAGGGAGGTTCCATGTATGTAATCCAGAGTGTGGGCAGGTACCTTTGAGGCGGGTGCGAGTAGGCACCGGCAGCTATGGATCAACAACAGTGGAGCAGGAGCTGGGTGACCCGTCCCTTCAGCGGAGAGACGAGTGCCTGTTTTGTCATCCAGGCAGGGCAACACCGCTGAGGTAGCTGGCATCAGTTGGGGTGGCTCAGCGACCCAGCGCCCAGAGAGAGGCCCAGTAGTCAGTGGCCAGCGGCCAGCGGTCTCCCTCCGCACCCGCACCTACTATTCTGGCTGGCTGGAAGGAGGCATGCGGCAGACCCGCGTGGAGAAAGAGCTGCACGCCCCGCTCCGTCACCCCTGCCCCTGTCCTTCCTCTCCCGCCAGGGATTGAAACAGTGCCGCAGTGCGCATCGCCGATCCCGACTACAACGCATCCATCACACCATCTGCCGACCTTGAAACGACAGCTGCTCGACTCGACAACAGGCCGTCCGCCTTGCTTCCTGACACTTCAACCGGTATCCGCACGCTGGCATGCTCGCTTGGCACAGCAGTCACAACGCGAACCGGAATTCAGCTTTCGCCGTGAGAATGGGGAATCGTGGTTGATGCATTGGTATATTGATTATACTCCGTGAATCCAGAAAAAAAGTGTTTCGAAGAAAAAGCCCACCCTGACACAGGCCCGACAGTGGGAGACTATGCTGATGAACCCCCCTCCCAACTAATTACATTCCATCTCTAACAACAACGTTCGTTTCCTACGTCCCCCATGATCGAACACTTCAATTCACGGGTTCCAGGCGGGAGAGAAGAGGACTCTCCACGTGTCTTCTCATTACAGTGCCTCGGGCGAGCGAGGCGAGACGTCGATCGATAGGGCCCGGCCCTTTACAGGTTGGCGAGGAGGGCGGCACCACCGAAGAGGGCACCGACGGCGACGGCGCCGGTGACGCGGGGGGCGGGCGAGTCGCCATCACCGGTGCCGGTGGCGCCGGCGGCCGCGGTGGACAGGCTCGAGAGCTGCTCCTGGATGGAGGTGGAGGCGGCGCCGTCGGTGGCGGTCGAGAGGGCATCCTCGAGCGAAGACTGGGCGGCGGCGATGGAGGAGCTGACCTCGGCGTTGCTGGCGCTGGAGGTAACATCAGCGATGGCCGAGGAGACGGACTCGCTGATGGACTGGATGACGGAGCTGGCCTCGTCGAGGATGGAAGAGGCGGCCGAGGGGAGGGCACCAGCGCCGGAGGTCACATCACCAGCGACGGAGCTGGCGACAGAGCCCACATCGGGGATCGAGGGCAGCGCAGACTCAACCGCCGAGGGGACAGCAGTGGGGACCGAGGGGGTGGTGATGGTGAGCTCCTGGGCCTGAGAGAATTTTGTCAGTACGGAACGAGCAGCATACGAGTCGCAAGAACTAAGTAAGATGGGCTCGACATACAGCAGCCAGGGAAGCGAAGGCGAGGTAAGTGACCGAAGTGTAACGCATTTTGGCGGTAGTGAGTGTTTGTTGAGGTAGGGTGATTAGGGTGTATAGTAGTAAGACGATATATTTCGAAACCGAAAGAGAGTCGTTGGGAGTACTGGATTGCTTGTTGCGGATGAGGAGCAAAATCTATGAGTACTGCATTGCGATCAAGGGGCGAGGTTTATATATGTAGAGAGCTCACGGGAACTGGCAGATGCAAGACAACGCAAAAAGAGTGACATGCCCCTCCCCTCCAAAACATGGCATCGAGCCAAGCAACGACACCAAGCCTCGAGGCGTCCTCCCACTTGCGCAACCAGGCAACCCACCCGGGGTCCAGGATCTGTCTCCCGCCTTGCCGCAAGTAGTAGCCAAGCTGGTTCATCGCTCATGCCTCAGGACCGACCTCTTCCTGTTGTTTTCCCGGTTGGTTGTTGCACCATCAGACAAACCGAGCCACTCACACCTACACGCCACTGCCACCATGCAAGCTCCCAGACCTCCCAGACCCAGACGTACCGCGCACACCCCCCCCTCCCCTGGACCTCACGTCATGTACTTTGGCAACGCGCAGGGCGTGGGTCCAGCGGATTCATCGAGCCCCGTCATGGCCCCAGTGCTCGAACATCTTCCCAAGCCGCTTGCTGGAGTACCATGTAGCCCGCTACGTACCCATGACTTTCCGGGGTGGCGAGTGGGCCGAGATCTGGCAGAGGCAGTTGGGCGGTCTGGCTGTCACTATCGATAGAGAGCCATGTACCTTTAAGCCGGCCCAGAGGCTGGCAAGAAGCGCGAGTTGAGCGACGAGTATCGTAGGATACCTGACTACTGGCAAGGTCCTCTGAACAATGATCGCTTGGTGCATGACCTGCACAAGCGAGGACCGGAAAAAAAAAATTAGCAACAGACAAAGCAAGGAAACGAAAAGTCAGATTCGCAGCAGATCAGCAAAGACAAGCCAATGAGTGAGCCGTCGGTACCTAGGCCTGTATGCATCCACGGCGGCAGCATTGGCGCTGTGGCTGTTCGCAACACAACAAGCCACGCCTCGGACACTCGCCACGCTTGATTTCGTAGGCGGCGGCTCTTCTCTCCCGGCTAGCCTCGCTGCTTTCTTGCTTGACTGTTTTCATGTTGGGGTGCGTCTAGTCCACTCTCGTTCTAGATCGACAGGAGGGTGTGGGGTGGGAAGGCGTAATTGTTACCGAATAAAGCAACGAGGCCAGAACAGAGGCGGTAGAGACAGACAGGGTGCTTGAGAGAGAGAGACTTCGACCGAATGCCTGTCCCGTCCAGGCCGTTTGCCAGCCGGCCAATCGACCACTCGAGCCTAGGTCTAGAGCTTCGCCGCATTTCGGCCCTGTCTCTCAATCCAATTGGTATTATGGGTGTGCGATTCAGGCTGTTGCGGCTGTGACAAATGTCTGGGTAGTGGAGCAAAGGAGAGGCGCAGACACGCGAAGGACGCACCTAGCGAGACGCAAGATCAGCCATCGGATAGTCCATTCGCCTGTACTCTCGGATCGTGTTTTTGCCCGTTTCTTTGCAACATGGTGGGCCCAAACACACGTGCTGGATTCGCAATGCCCATCCTCGCCGCCCCCCCTGGAACGGCTGACATGGGAAGGCTCGTGGTACGCACTCTTCTTGCGCATGCGAACGCGCGCCGGGCACAAACTGCCTATCCCGCTGAAGGTCGCTAGAAAGCTTGCTCCCAGACTCTAGCCCAGGCGAGGTGGACGCTACCGTCAGCCAAGCCGGCCTGGGGAATGAAAGCTGCTTGGCGTACTGTGTGCTCTTGCGCTGTGCAGCGAGCGGGCAAGAGCGTGACCGCCACTGCTGGCGAGCGAGACGAGCTTCAGACTCCCCAAGTTACCAATCTCGCCAGGGCGGCAGGGCGGCAAGGCTGGCCAGGGCCGCTGGAACATGGGAATTGCACTGCAATTGCGGTTCCTCCCCGCCATCACCCATGACGTCCGCCGCCAGGTGATCGGGTGCCGTTGAGCTTCAAGCGTATATCCCTGCCCGGCCTGAGGTACAAGTAGCTTGCGTCCAGGTACCCCTGTCCCGTGCATCGGCTTTCGTCCACCAACAACCAGGTTCACTGTTGCAGCGTCTTGGTGCTCCGTTCATTGCGTCACTTGCCAATGTTCCGTCGTTTCGACCAAGTCGCCGGGAGAACTGGGAGAGATGAGGTTTCGGAGACGACGTCCAAAGCACATTGCGGTTCCGAACACATCCATGAGCTTGACGTGGGACACGATCAAAATAAAGCAACGTCCAAATGTGAGACTGGTGTGGATGCCAGACACGGCACAGTGTTGGTTCTCTGCAGGAACAGTTACTTGAGACGCTGTTCACTTCAAAGGTCTGTCCATTCATCGCACTTCGCCTGTTGAGTGCCGAGCCAGGCAAATCTCCTGAGATGGAGCAGTCTCATAGGTGGACGTTGCTTCTTCCTGGCCAGCCCCTAGTATTCGTGATCACGCTGTTTTGCAAGCGAACAAACAGGCATTGGAGTGTAGTCAGTCGTCTGTTGTCCGTTGAATTCTACGCTTTTCTCTCGCTCCTTGGTCGAGGAGGCCTCGGTCAGACCGATCATCGGAGCTATGCTGTGGATCGAAGTGCCCAGTGGTCGACTGTGAGCGTTGTTGTTGACATGCTCAGGTCTTCGACGGCCTTCTTCCCAGGCGCATCAACTCAACCAGTGCCTCACTCCGCCACGGGCAAAAGCCTGGTCTAGCTAGCGCGAGGGCCGCCCGCCCCCAGTCTTCCGCCCCCATTTGCCTTGTTTTACCCCAGTATTCTAGCGGTTGAAGGACCCGAATCCCCAATTGCGACATGGTGGGCCAGAATCACCCGCCGCACGCATGAGGGAGTCCAGGTTCGTGTGGTGGGGACCACAATAACTGGAGTGCGGGACGCGTCAGCTCATCCGTGTTAACCTCCATCTACCCACTGCAGGCGATCCTCCGTTACCAGCGTCTCTAAGATCCGCTGTGGTTGGCTGGCGCAATGGAATTCCTGCTTTCGATGCCTCCCTACCCGATCAGTGACGCGATTCCTTGACAAAAGTCCGCGTTCCAGGCCAGTCGGCCGAATGTCGCTGTCACTGTGACGTTGAAGCTCGGCGAATTTTGACCTGTCACAGCCTGCCTGGTGCCTCTGAATGCCCATGCCAGTCTTCAGCGAAGGGTCGGTCAACATGAGCAGACCGACCATCCCGAAACAAACTCCGGTATTCAGGGGAGTCTTGCTTGTTGCCTTCACAACGAGGGTCGATCCAGCCCGTCTACTTTGCCTGTTTGCGGTGCGGTGAGTTGAAACACGCCGCTGTCAGCCGGTGACCTGGGCGACCATCTTCTTAAGTTCCGTCACCATATCGTTAGCCTCCGTTGGGTTCTTTGCCTCGAAATCGTAGCGCTTGGGTTCCGTATCTTTGTAGATGATGAGCTAGAAGAACCTTATCGTCAGTATTCCGCTCGAACAAGGCTTCCGTGGCGCCGTTGGGCAGCAGGATCTGTTGAGACGCAAGCGCGGCGCTACTCGGCTGCTTGGAGAGGCATCCGCATATCATCTCCAACAGACAGTGGCAGTACGTACCTTGAACTGGTTTGGATGCTTCGCAAACACTTTGCATCCGATAATCTGGGTCATGTGTGCCGTCGTCGTCTTGCCTTCACGTGCAGATGTTGGTTTGATGTGGACGTATTCGCCGTCAATCTCAAGCCGACGCTCGCTCTGGCTCATCATCCTGACTGTCCGCAGTCGCCAGACGGTCCATGACTTGCAGGATCCCGTGAGCTCCGCCTGCTTGAGGGCCTGCTGCGCCAACGGGTGGGAGCCCATAATGTGTGTCCGTTTGGCCCTGCGCCCCGGTGGCCCATCTGAGAATGGCAGTAGCTTCGGCGAAGCACTGCTTGGCGAGCCCGTCATCGTTAGCGGGCCATCCGTTGCGAATCGTCGCCGGTGCAGCTCCAGGTCGGAAAGACTGCCGATTGTGCTGACTTTGGCGTCGAGCAGCACGACAGGGCCGCCGCCAGGCATCTTCAAAACGTGGTTGGCCTTATCCAGCTGCCGTTTACGACAGACCTGGTCTAGAACTTCGGCCATGTACGTGTCTGTCGTCACGTCAAGCGTGACCAACTGACCAGGAGCAATGTCGGTAGAGTGTAGGTGGACGCGTAGCAGCTTTTGCTGGCCTCGCGTCGCGCTCGGCGTTGGTGCTGGTGCAGCGGTCGGCTGGTCCATGAATACCGTGGGCTGCTGCTGACGATACGTCGTGTTCGTGACGGGGTTCGGCCGAGGTTCCATGGGCGGTGGCAGAAATGTCTGTGTGGGCTGCGGAGTGTTGCGCGGCGTCGTGTCCTCTTCGGCGGCCTCCTCGGCCGGCGCCTCCTCCTCCTCCTCCTGGGGTGTGGCGAGTTGGTTCTCTTCAAACTCTTCTTGCGAAGCCTCGACCAGGCCAAAGTTATCGTGGGTCTTGGAGTTGGCCCTCATCCGGCCGGCTGCCCTGTTATTGGCCGTGGTGAAGGACGCCAGGGCCTTGGTCCTGTCGAAAGGGGGAAAGTCATCATCTACTTCGCCATCCTCTTCGACCATTCTCAAGGTCCACCAGTTGATGTTGGTCTTATCACTTGGAATGGCTGGTTCTCTCTTTTCATCATTGTACTTCCAGAGGCTGAGCCCGATGAGGTCGGCCACTGTGACTGGTCGATCGCCTCCTTCGCCGTGGTGGACCATGCGACGGATGAGAACCTCGAATGGCTTCATTGGATTGTTCGAATATGCTGGGTAGATCTGCACCGCAATCGGGGCATTCTCTCCTTGTCCGGAGAGGCTAGCGAACCTCTCGAATGGGACTGTCGGCTTCGTCTTACGAGCCTTGAGAGCCGCAGAGAGCATCCCTTTCGGTTGAATCATGCTGATGGGTCGAATCATACTCATGGGGCGGGGAGGCGGAAGCGCCTGGAGAACCCGTGGGGGGGCCTGTGACCTGCGAATGGTGGACGTTCGAGTAAATTGGCGCGGCGGTGTCCCGACGACTTGCCGGTCTGGCGAGGCCTGATTCGGGTGTTCAACCGTATCGAGGATACCAGCCGAGTCGATACTCTCCAGGAAAGCGCCTGACAGGTCGGAGGCGTCCGAGTCGTCTTCCTCCTCCTCGGGGAGCAGGTCCGTGCTGGCCCGCCTGATACCCTCGACAGGCTCCTCGTTGATTCGGGCCTGTATCCTGACGGCCTTTGTGGCCGCCTTGGCTGCTTCTCTATGCTTGTGGAACGCCGAGGCGTCAAACTCCGTGTCGGACGATATCTCGCTGCTGGTGACAGTATCCCGGCGTGCTCTCTCCTTGACGACCTCCAGGGCGGACTGCGATCCCCGACGGGCGCCGGGGGCTGCGCGCGGAGAGGACGTGACTGCGGCTGCTTGGCGCATGGTGGAGGTTTGGTTCGGACTAGAGCCAGCTCTGGCCCTGACTGGCATCTTGGCGAACCGGATCTGTTGCGCCGCTCGTTGGGTGGCCTCGTCGTCGTCGCTTTCGTCGGAGAGGTCGCTGCTGTCGTCGTCTTCGAGGGTCTCGCGCCGCCGCCTCCGCCTGGTGGCCAAGCCAGGGCCAAATGTATCGGTGCCTCCGCCTGTCAGGATTCCAGCTTCGTCGGGTTCGTCCTCGAGAGTCACGCCAGTGCGGCGGGGGGCCTGGAAGTATTCCGACGCGATGGCCGTTGGGATCGGGGGGGAGTAGCATCGTTTGCTCAAGTCGGGATTTGCCTGCCAGCCTACAGCTTTAAAGTCGGACGACTTCATGAAGCTGTCATTCAGCGTGATCAGTCGTTCGCCGACTCCATCAGCAATCTCCGTCAGGTAGCCGCAACGAAGCTGGTACGCAACCAGGCTGCGATGATCAGTCGAGGCCAGAGGGGATAGAAGCCGTGGGGTTAAACATACTCTTCATTTTGAAAGACCGACATGGCTGCTGCAAAAGGCCGAGGTTGTGTCGAATGTCCCTGGTTTGTAGGTACTGGGTGGACAAGAACGTCAATCGGTCAACTCACGACAGGCGCATGGCGAGGATGGAGAAAGGGGGGTAACGTCGCGCTGTCGGTAAAGGCTTAGAGAAGGCACCTCGCATTGCCAGAATGCGACCTTTGAGAAAGAAGATACAGGCCGTGTTTTGACTGGCAGAAGGTAAAGAAGAGAGGCCCTGAAATGTGACTGGCGATGCGGCGGAACAACTCTCGTGGTGTCGTTTCCAGCCTTGTGAAACCCCCCCGCCGAAGCTCCAGCGGAGCGTAGTCGCGCATGTCGGTCGACATGCACGGGCCCACACGAGCTTGATAACGCCGTAGTGACCGTGCGATAAGGCAGTTACTCAGTAGCCTCGCATCCACTTTTGAATCTGCGAGCGCCCTGTCCAGCAGTGAGTTGTGCATTCCTGCATCTACGACGCCACCTCAGACTTGAAGCCGGCAGTAGACTGAACCAAGTCCAAGGATACATCGACTAGAAACCATGGCTCTGGTCGAGTACTCTGATTCGGACTCCGATTCCGAAGCACCTGTCCAACCAACTGCAGCGCCTACAGCACCCGGACCAAACTCGAAGAAGCCCTTTCAAAAGGTCGTCAACCGCGCCAACCCCGGGAAGATTGTCGTCAACCTCCCTCAGACAAAGCGCGAAGACGTTGCGTCCGCCGATGATGGTCCTCCAGCGAAGCGCACCAAGACGGGCGGCGGCGGCGGCGGTATGTTTGCCGGCTTCAGCTCACTGCTGCCAGCGCCCAAGAATGCCGCGAAGAGACCGTCTGCGCTGAGCAGCAGCAGCAGCAGCAGCTCGTCGCGGCCTGTTTTCCAGCTCAAGACGAGCGCGGAAGCTGGCTTCAGTCGCGACAGCCCGGTTGCAGATTCTGGCGGGGAGGGCGAGGGTTCGGGCCTTTCGCTGCCGCCACCCAAGACGGCGCCTCAACCATCCATTCCGGAGACGATGAAGCCTGAAGAAGAGGTCAAGCTGGTCGGCAAGCCCATGATGTTTCGGCCATTATCAGTTGCCCGGAACAAGAAGAAGCCGGCGAAAAAGCTGCCCCAACCAGCAACAGCAACAGCAGCAGCAGTGCCTGTGCCGGCAGCTGCAGCACCATCTGTGGAGGAGGCCGAGGACGCTGGGCCGCCGCCGCCACCGAAGAAGATATCCCTCTTCTCCCTCGACAGCGAACCGGAACCCGCTCCCGCTCCGAGCACGACGTCAGCGTCAGGAGCCTATGAACCTCTCTTCCAGACCGAAGCCGCCGCGAGTGCGTACAATCCATACCTAGACGAGGCTGCGCCCTACGCAAACCACCCGACACCGACGACGGCGCCCACGTCCGACAAGGAATCGCTGCACACGATTGCAAACGACCTCAACCTCTCGGCGGCCGAGCGCCGCGAGCTCTTTGGCCGCGGCGGCCCGAGCAACGCCCAGGGCGCCGCAGCCACGAGGGTCATCAACTTCAACACGGACCAGGAGTACCAGCACAACGAGGATCTGCGCGCCTCGGGCCAGGAGCAGACTCACAACCCCGTGCGCTCGATCGCGCCAGGCAAGCACAACCTCCGGCAGCTCGTCAATGCTGTGCAGAACAACCGCGATGCGCTGGAGGAGAGCTTCGCCAAGGGCAAGAGCAATCGCAAGGACGCGTCGAGCCGGTACGGATGGTAGGCGGATAGCGAGAATGATACCCCTCATGAATTTCATGAATTTCACATGCCCACAGTAAATGGCCGGTTATGAATCAAATGTCGCCTTGCGAAAGACTTTCTCTCTTCTCTCCCTCTCCGGAGTGCTACGATCTCGTCTAAATGGGTATGCTCGTAAATGGTGTGACAAAAAAGAAGAGAAAGCGGGAAAACAGGCTGGACGCAATACAAGATGCAAAATACAGACGGACACTCAAGCCCCTGGCGTCAACAGGTCACCACGGCCGCCGTCCTCCCGCTCTGGGCGCCGCCCGGCCCCATGAGGAAGCCCCATTCGCCTCGCGTGATGGGCGAGATGTCCTCGTACCCGTTTGGCGTCATGGGGCCGAGCCTCTGCGCCGTCCTCCCCTCGTCGCCCAACACCTCGGCGATGGAGACGGGGCTCCATATTTGGTTCTGGCGGCTGTCCCGGCCTGGACGCGCCGTCAGCTGCTCCTCGTCTTCAGGCTGCGGCTGCGGCGCGATGCCGCGGGCCACAGGCCGGAACACCTTGGCGTCAAACTGCGTCTGGAGCTTGAGAACCGGCGCCGCCTTGGGCGATGGCGGCTTGCCAATCTTCAGCGGCGCCATGGCCACGCAGATCTGGACCTCGGGCTCGTCGGGCTCATGGTGCTCGTCCCTTGTCCGCACCGGTACGACCTCGGACCGCGCTTCCTCATCGACCTCGTCCGTCTCGTCCTCCATGATCGTCTCGGCATCCGACTCGTCCCCGTCGACGCGCAGACCCGCGACGCCGCCCCGGCGCCCGACGCCACCGTACGCCCGCCTGTACATCCTGTCAACCTCGCCGAGGGCGCCCTCGCTGAGGCCGAGCCAGCGGTACGTGCCGACGAGCTCGCCGCGGGTGACGCGGCGGCGGCGCGCCAGCACGAGGCGCCGCAGCTCGTCGACGGCGTCCTTGAGGCGCAGCGGCGACCCTGTGCGCGCGAAGCTCGCCAGCGCCGCCTTGAAGGTGTACAGCCTGTCGAGCGACACGAGCGTCAGGCCGTCGGAGGCGAAGAGGACCTCGTTCTGGGCGAGGGAGCGGCGGATCAGCGGCGCCGCGAGGCCGCTGCTCGCGGCGTCCGTGGCGGGGGACAGCCATTCCGTCCTGTGTCTGTCAGTCTTTTTGGTTCTCCTCGATTGCAGCCTCCATGGACCGAAGCGCGGCAGCAGCAGCAGCAGAGACAGAAACAGAACGTACCCGATGCGGAACTTTTTCTCGGCCCGCTCAATCGTCTGCCGCAGCACCCTCTCCTCGCGGTCCGTCAGCACGTCGGCCTGCACGAGGCGCAGGCCGAACGCGTTGGCGGTCATGGGCCCGTGGCCGGCGTCGGTACAGGCGGACGAGGCGGTCAGCGGCGTGGCGGGGGTGGCGGGCGTCAGGGGCCAGCGCAGGCGCGGGCTGTCGGCGCCCGAGGCGGCGCTCGCGCTGCCCGTGCGCACGAGCTTCTTGAAGGAGGCGACCATGGGGGACGTGGCAAAGGACGGCATGCGCAAGGGGGCGCTCGCCGTACGGGCGTGGGTTGGCGACCAGGGCGAGGGGCCGTCGGCGCTGGCGAGGGGCAGCTGGTAGTCTCTGCGCAGGACGACGAGGGTTGTGTGAATGCCCTTGCGGGTGAGGCGGTGGGAGGCGTATTCGAGGGCCTCGGTCAGGTTGGGCGGCAGGTGCTGGACGTCGAGGATGGAGGGACCAGCCTCGAGGGGCGAGGAGATGCGTGACTTGATAGCCATGGTGTGTGGTTTGGCTTGGTACGTAAGGGAAGGTAAAGACAATCGCTGTGCGATGCACTTGATGTGTGAGAGAGGAGGGGTGGAAAAGAAGAGGAAGACGCCTGGACACTCGCAGTAGGAGACGACGATCAAAAAAAATGATGAAGGTATTCGCAGGCTCAATCAAGACATGGTGCATGCATGGTCTGTTTGTTGATTGAAGCGAGAGAGAGCGAAAGAGAGATGTTGTCTGGATTATATTTCCCCGGGTCTGCAAGAAAAACACGAAACATGCAAAACCCCAGCGTGGCTGACCACTTCCTCTGCAATGACACGGTGACGCAGCGTCGTCACCCATCACCCATCACCCATCACGCCGTCGCTCATCACCCCATCATCCCGTGTTCCCTTCGGACGACACAACAGCCAAGCCGAGCCAGCCAGCATCGGCAGCAGCACCGGTATCAGCATGGCCTTACCGAAAGGGGACACCACCATCAAGCGCCAGCAACATGAAACAGAAGCTTAAGTTTTTTTTTAGGGGCTCGTGTCATTCTCTTCGGGTCGGCCAGCATGAGGTGCAGGCCCAGGGGGGGGGGGGCGAGCGTTCCGGCAGATCATCATGACCCGCCTCGCCATGGCAGAGGGCCCCATTCAGTGCTCCGTCCATCCCACAACCTCGGGAATCCCGTTTCGCCATACCGCACGCATTGCCGACTGGCTAGAAGGGGGGGGGGTGGTATTTCGCGCCTAATCTCGTTCCACTGTCCCTCTCTCTCGCTCTCTCCCCTGGACCCCTTCTCATGCCTCCAAAAAAAGAAGATCGCAGCAAGCCCGGCACGCCCTGATGATTCTCCTGTCGTTCAATTTTCTTTCGTTCCTCCCAATCTCTTCCCTCCCCCGCTGTGATACAGGTTCCCCCATCGTGCAGCGCGCCCACATGGCCCGGCGGCTACAGAGTGTCTATTTTCGGTAGTTGGCTCTGGCTCAGCACGGCGGGCGCGCCACCTATTGGCTCCGTCGGGACCCTCCCCGTCACCGTCACCGTCAACGGGAGGCCGTGCTAGCGTCGATCTTGCGAGCAAAAGCCAGGGGGGGGGGGCATGGGGAATGGGAGCTGGGAGCTGGGAGAGAGGGGGGGGGGATGCAGCAGCGAGGTTCTAAAATAGAAATCTCTCCGCCAGGGGTTTGTGTGAGCGGGGGCCAAAAGAGAGGGGCAATACCGACAGCCTGGCGAACCGGACCCATCGACCACCAACAATCCACTGCTGGATAACCTAGGTAAGGTATGCTTCATATTGTCGAGTTCTGCCTCGCCTATGGCCTCATGCTGGACCCCCATGCTTCATCAATTCGACCATCACCGTCCCATCTTCTCACCCTCACTGCCCCCGCTCACCATCGGGTGCTGTCCTGAGAGAAACGCTACTCGTAAAGGGTAGACAAACCTTGCTTCACGATGCCGGGTAATCGGAACCTAGTTCTCACTTCTTCCTCTTTCACACACACTCTCCCTCTCTCTCTGCGCTACGTACGGACAGATCGATCCCCCACCTGGCCCAGAGGAAGAAGTCTCCGTCCCTCTAGATCCATGTCTTACCTGCAGTCCCTGCCAGACTTCCTTCAGGATGCTTAATTTAGACAACGTCGCGACCTTCTCGCCCCGCACTCTACAGTATGCCATGATCAACGTCGGTTCGTCAAACGACACACTCACTAGCTCGCCGCCACCACTCTGCTCGCCGCCTCTATGCTGGGCGGTAAACAGGAACATGTCAACCACAAATAAATCATGGCACGCAACGCACGGCACGACGGCACGACAACACGTGCTCCTCTTCAGCCGCCTGGGGTCAAGATGCAATCGTCATTTCTCATATCGTTTAGCCCCCCCCTTCCCCCCTTACCAAAAGGGCTTCCTCGTAGCAGGCCCACGGCATGGCGGATCCAGAGCGGGGCCTTGCCATGTGCTCCTAAAACCTATGCTCAAGTCGTCGCTTGCCATAATGAAATTCATATCGTCCCCAGCCAGTCGGATCGTCCCTCTTGCTGTCCATGAACAGTGAGTGACTCGATCGCAAGCGCTCACGCAAACGAAAACGCAAACGCCTGACACCGACGCGCCCTCATGCATATTCTTTCGTCCGGATATAGCCCGTGCCAGGCCTCTCTTGTCTAATTATTCTTCTCCCCGCCACGCCCCCCCCCCCTGTCGCTCAGATGCCCGCCGGGGGACGCCAGGAACAGGAACGGCATCGCCCCAAGCTGGGTGACTTGCTGTGCTTCAGCCACTCAGAGCCCGCAGCTGAACATCCGTCATGCTCTTCATCTGATCCGACGACGAGTCCTCCCAGTCTTGGTGACGCGGTCAGCATCGCGTCGCCTCGCACGACTCCAATGTATCCGTCTCGCTGCAGTACGACAGAGGGGACATACCGGAACCGTCCTCATCCAGCTCGTCGATCAACAGACGCTCTACCGACTCGAGGATCCCTGCAGGTAAAAGTTAGCGCGTCGTCGTCCATCGGGTTGCTAAACATGTCTTCGACTTGCCTTCCTTGAGGTGATGGAACCCCTCCCGCGACACGCCGCCGTCAATGTCTATTTCAAAATATGCCTCGCTGGCGACGATCATCTTGTGCAGCGGCTCGATCGTCGACCCCACTACTTGCCGCTCGGCAAGCACGTACTGCTCCTGAAGGTACTGAAGGCAGCCAACACCGAGCTGCCTGGCAGCCTGGACTACCCTGTCGTGCAATTCTGCGTCCTCATGTGCCCATTGCGTCTCGTATCTGACGAGGAAGCCCTCGATCCACTGCTGAGCCAGGCTTGCAGATCGTTTGTCAACACATCCGATCAACCCAGGACCCCAGAGCGGTACCAGCTCCAGGTGCATCATAAGACCCGGTTTGGCTTCTGCCAGCGGCATGCAGACCAGCGCTTGTATCGCTCGCTGGAAAAAATCAAGGAACGATTTTCCCTCGTTGTTCTCCAACACCCTGCACGCCTGAGTAACGTGTTGCAGCACCTGCTGGGACGTGTCCGGATCATTGCAGTGGGTGACAAACGTCAGCGCCGCCCACAGGAAAGGCACCATGGAGTGCATTTCAGCCTTGCCAGAAATCATATTCCCAAGCACTCGGGTCACGCACTTCTGCATGTGTTCGTCGCCCTTGGCCAGACGGCGAATGATGGCGCAAGTGTCTTGTCGCTCTTGATCGATCTCGAGAAGTCGCCGCACAAAGAAGCTGCCGCCGTAGTCCCTGTCTTCAGCGAACAGTACATTAACCTCTTCTGAAGTCCAAGGAAGCGGCTGCGACGGGTCCTCTAGATAAAGAGCGAGACGTTCGTTTGCTTCCTCGACCATATCGTCTTGCACGAGTGGCTCGAGGGCTTTCATCAGATGGTTGATAAGCTGGATAATCACGTCGTATGACGGAGGCTTGTTAGACATCCTGCGAGACAGGCCACGAACCAACATGACGTAGTGCTCCGGCAGGCCAGGGTAGTTGGCGTCAGCTGCGATAACAAACATGAGGTCCTTCAACCAATCGTCGTGAAGTAGAGCAGCTGTTTCAGCTTCGCCCAGCTCAGCAAACCTCAAGATCAAGTGGAAGCACTCGTTCCACGAACGCAGGTTGCAATGAAAATTCTCAAAGATTTTTCGAAACAGAATCAACGCACCGTCGATCGCCGAGTTTTGAACGAGGATTTCGTCGTCGGCCGGCGGCGCCTCCGGACCATAATAGGCAGGGTCGTGTTCTCGAATTTCTTCAAGCGCAATGATCAACATGTCGCCTGTTGCGAGACGGTAAGATGGCTCGGGGTTCCGTTGCACCAATTGTCGAAATGCCTCCGGACGCCCGACAAAATAGTCGAGGAACGCTTCTGCGCATTTGTGACAGTTCCGGAACCGTGTTTGCAAGCTGGTCTTGTATCTCTGGAAGAGAACGCTCGTCTTGCTCCGTCCAACGACTTGATCTAGGTGTCCGAGAAGCATAGCCATGGCGCTCCGCTCTGTTTGATGCTCGAGAGAGCACTGGCCGTTATTGAAAGACATCATAAATTCAAAAAATTGAAGAGCAAAGACGGCGTGATTGCGATCGAACAGACAATGTCTTCGAAGAAACACCGTATTGTTGTTCTTGATGACTTCATGCAGGTCCGGAATGATGTCAACATGTAGGGGTGGCACTAAGCCTTGAGCTTGCATCTCTTGCCGCGATGCCCTCAGGACAGAAGAGCGTTGGTAGAACAGCATGTAGGCGCTGTAAGATTTGTCGTAGGCAACGCTGTTGGCATCGTTGACCTGATTCGTGTCGGGACCTCCAAAGGTAGCCGCCTCAAGCTGTGCAGCGTCCCAAGTCGATACAGCCTCGTCATTGAACTCGAGCCAGGTCTCCAGATCCGCAGTCGACGGCCGTTCACGAATATAGGAGTAATAGTGGCCAGATTCCGCGGTTCCGGAGTGAACGAGAACGCCAACGAGCTCAAACACATCTTCCTCGCTCGTCGGAGACTCTTGATTCAGATATTCGACAGTGTAGGGCCGCATATCGATTCTGTTCGGGAAGGAGAAGTAGTCATTGATCTTACTTCTCGTGAGAGTGCGCAAGTTGAAATCGAAACGTTTGAGGTGAAAGATAAGATTGTCGGGAATGTCTTTAAGACAAGCTCTGTCAGGCTTGTTAGTTGGGTAGATCCACATGATAGAGGAAAGTCGGTGCGCACCTTTTTACAGCATCGACGTGGCGGTCGCAAGTCGAGCATTTGTACTTGTTTTCTGATGAAAATTAGCCTTGTTGGGGATATCGCTGAAGGATCCACGCGTGTTTACCTCCTTCCATGATCTCCCCATCAACGTAATCCCGAAGACTATCAAGAAGGGTCGTTTTGCCTTTAATGTCGCACTGGATGGCAGAAAAAGGTTCGAGACGTTCCGAAATGTGATCGCACTCCTTCGATCGAACCTGCTGAACGAGTTGACCACCATAGAATGCACGGAAGGCGTTTCTTTTGCCTGCGGACGCCATTTGCGACTCCCATCGGTCGAACAGCAGGTTGTAGAACTCGTCAACATCCATCTGGTTATGGATATCGATCATGGTGTCGTCGTAGGTCTTTATCCAGCTCACCATTTGACTAGTGTCGACGTATCGTTGACTGGTTTCCTGCATATGGGCAAATGTGATTTGCGTCTCCTCCAACAGCTCCTGATTAGATCCCGCAGTGGGGGCCTCCATCATGAAGCGACGAAAGTTCGTGTTCATGAACAGTTGGGTGAACAAAGAGTTGAGGTAGCAGGTGTTGGAGAGATTTCGCAACCCTGCGTACCCACACTCTGCTCGTACGGCCTGGTCCCGGTCGAAATTCATGGGCAGCTCATATTGATAGGGTTCGGCTTGAATACACAACAAATCAGTACCTTGGCTGTAAACGGGAAGTGGGAAAGCATACCGCCAGGTCGAGTGTCGAAGATCACTAGTTTTCCTAGTTGCCTCAAAAGATCAGTGCTGTGCTGCTGATTTCCTTTCGCGATATCGAGAAGTGTCTCGCACAACATTTCGCGGGATGATGGGGATAGAAGTGATCGAGGTGTAGGCTGCGTCGTCCGCCGGCGCGGAGGGGGAAAGAGATGTCTCCAAAACAACTCATTAATCAAGCCGCTGCCATTGTTAGTATGAAGCTTCTGATCCTCATGCAAGGTTGTCTTACGGCGCGAACGAACAGCTTTCGAGTATCTGTTCGTCCTTGAGACAACAGCGAAGAAGCCTGAGCAGCCCGCTGGCTAACCGGTCCTCAATGAAGGGCTTTCCCAATTGCTGGATCATGGACCAGTCAGTGTGAAAGCTTGGAAAAGCTCACGTTCCTACATACCTCAGACGTTTCATGCCCTGTCAAGGCTATGATGCAATCATGAACAAGCTCATTTGCACGCACGACTGTCGATTGTAGGGCCAGGAGCTTTTTGAGAATCAACTGCGTCAAGATGAAAAATTCGTTACAACTCTGCGGTAGATCCATGGCTCGGGGCACCAGGCTGTTCAAAACAGGCCAGAGGAATTCGCAGAATGTGGTGGATGTCACAGCGGCTCTACACAGCACGGTGTTAGTTCAGAAATGTCCCCTGGATGGACTGTTCATACCTCTCAAAATCTGTGCTCCTCATATTTATTGCTTTGACAATCTCCATACGAACGTAAGGCGATGGCTCCTGCAAGACGAGTCTTTCAATCAGGGCAGCAATGCCGTGGTACTGCTGAAGGGATATCCAGAATTCGACATCAGTAGACGATGACAGAAGGATCGAAGAGAAAGTCTTCGTGATCAAGTCAACCGTAGCCTCATTGCGTGACGAATCCACAGCAAAGACCAGAATGTCAACAAGACACGCTACGGGTGCGGTTGTCATTGACGTCGCCAGCGGTAGCATCAAGTACGACTCTGTCCTGCGGTCAGCTAGGACCCATTTCTCGTCGTGGCGGCCCAACTTACCCTGCAGGATGTGAAGGTAGAGGCCTATCAACTCTTGGCAAAGAAATAATTTGTGGGAGGAGGAGCAGTCGTCCAGAGCCTCGCGATCTGAAAGAGCGGCCACTACGAGTGCTTGAGACCGGGTCAAGGCCTTGGCAAGGACATCTTCGTCGGGATCGTCGTCACGCCCTGCACTGACAGCAGCGGCCTGTTTGCGACGCGCCGATTTGAGATACTCCTTCAGAGCGTAGACTGCATATATGGACTTGTGACACTGTCCTTTCGGAAATATGTCACGATGAGTGGTTGCAGTTGAATCGATGGCTTTCAAGATTTTAGCATCGACGGGGAGGTTGACGAGGAAATGGAAAATCTACAGCATTGTTAGCACTTTGCTCTGACGCCACTTCTCGAAAGACCATACCTCGCTGGCGAGCGGTTCCTGCAGGTCGAGGTAGTTCCAAAGCCGCCCAAAATGACTGAGGATCTCAATCTCAAGGAATGAGGCGCCAGGGTTTGCTCTTGTCGCAGGAGCTACCCCTCCTACCTCTCTCTTTACCAACAGCAGGCCCGTTGTCATGCCGATATCTTTGAGCGAGCGAGAAATCTCGTCCTCATCAGGAGCAAAAATCCTGCCGTGATGATACACACGGTAGTTGTCAAATCCCGTGACTTCTCGTACGCGCGCTAGTAACGTTGCCACTGTGTTGTCGGCTCCGATTTCTAGAGGCGACATGTCGGACTTGGCCCCACCGTCATAAGACTCGTATTGCAGGTCGGTAAGCTCGCCTTTCACAGTGCATGGCACTTGCGACATGAGGGAACGAAGATCGGGGGCTGCGAATTGGGGTTTTGATTGATGCGCCTTCAGGAACTCACGCAGCAGTGCAAGAGATCGTATGAAGATTCGCTCCTGGGCTTGCGCATGCTCCTCGTCATTGGCTTCGTGCGGTGCGTCCTCAGCAGAATCACGAGCCTCAATTGCTCTTGCTGCGCCGTCAAGTTGGCCCAGACAACGGTTGACCATGCGTGTATGAACCGCCCGCGCCCTGTGGTGTGGGTAAGCCAAGATGGCCTTGCTTCCGATGTAGACATCCTTGACCAGTATCGAGATCATCAAGTCAACCAAGTCCGAGTCGGCAACGCGAAGCATCATGTGCCAGATGAGTTCGATCGCTTTCTGTGCAAGACCTTGCTCGTCATCTAGAACCTCCGTCATCTCATCTACTAATGGCAGAAGAAGAGACTTCGCAAACTGCAGGGCGCCATTCGAAAAGCATTGGGGAGGAAGTCCATGGAGCATCTCCGCGAAGCATCGTGTGATATATGGGTTCTCTTGCTTGCTATTAGCAACAATGGCGTTGAAAAGTCGCCAGGCGGTGGCCCTGTCTTCGGGGCAATACGCCCGAGGGCCGACAAGAGCGTCCCAGAGACGAGCTCCCAGGTCATCCGTCAGACTTGAGGGTTCGTGAACGATGATCCCGTACAGAAAGTCAGTCCGCGGGCTGTTTTGGGGACCGCTGAGTATAGCTGATAGGCCAGCTTTCCTGCCTGCATCTATCGCATGCTCGAGCTCTTCGACGAGGAGGCGTGTCAAGTCATAATCCGCCACAGCCTCTCTTAGATCCGTAGCGGTTGGACGATTCAAAGTAGCCACACACCATAGGCTGCCTAAGGTCGTGTCAGAAGCCGATGCTATGTCCCTAGCGCAGTCAGTCATGATCTCTTGGCGCGTCTGTGGATCCAAGCCGAGAACAATCAGATCTTTGAGCCGCGTGATGGCAATCTGATGAAGCTCGGGGTGCGCGAAATGTGAGTGACCGGCCAGCTCTGATGACTCGCGAAGCAAGCGAGTGCATAACTTGAGGAGAAGAGAGTTGGGTTGTGCGCCTTCCTGCCGGTACTTGTGTGCGATGCACTTCAGAGTCCTCTCGCAAATTGTTCGCAGATTGGGCGTGAACATATCAATAGGCAAGGTCTGGAACTTCTCGCACAAATATACCAACCTGTCCACATCAAGTAGATTGAGGACCGGTTCTGACATGCGGAGGAGGGCGTCTGAAACCCGAGGGTTCTGAGTTTTGGTCATGGTACTCCAAAGAAGATCAGTCTGCTCGTTAGAATAGAGTTTCGTTACTGCTAGAAACCCAACAATATTGCCGCTCTCGCCGGTGATCTCGGGGTGGCAGCTGGACCCAAGTGTGTAATCAACCAGCTCAGTGTGTAGGATGTACTGGGCGACGTGGGTCAGGAGCTCGTTCGGGATCAGGTCCTCGCTATGTTGCTTCCACAGCTGGACCAACTCGGAGCCCATCTGAGTGACCGCCATGACGCGCAGTTGCATCTGGCTGGATCGTATGAGGCTGGCCATGATATCCAGGCGCCACTCACAAGCAATGGCGTCGGCGGTGTAGTGGGCAGGTAGTTCCGGATGGTTTTGTGCGTGCAGGTCGAGGCGGTCTTTGGCCTGTCGATGCTCCCCACCAAGGCTTGTCTTAAGAATCTCGGTCAAAGAGTTCAGCAGTACGGAAGCAGAATCAGGGTTGAGCTGTGTGACGTGCTTCTCGATAATATATGACAGGGCATCTGCCACAATCTGGTAGAATTGAAAACCAATGGTCAGATAAGAGCGAAACTCATTGATATTCGGGTTGGCCGGATTGCGCAGAGCTCGCGCTGCTTCTGAGATCAAAAGGGCGGCCAGTTGTGAGATTGGCCCGAGGTGTTCAATCATCTGGGGGAACTTTTTGATGAGAGCCACTTCAGTCTGGGCGAGCTTGAGGAGGCAACCTATTCGTCCACCTGTGGAGGCCTGAAGAGCACGTAGTAGCATAGCGCGCTCGTCAAAAAGATCGCGCTGTGCTTCAACGTCCGCAACCTGAGAGTTTTGTCGCCGCATATGGTCTCGGCGAGCGATTCGGTTTACTCCTGATACAAGCGATGCCGAGATGGGACACGGTGGTTCGTGCTCGTCAAGCTGAGGCATCATCGCGCGACAGCTAGTAAGAAATTCTAGGTCAACGGCGGTGATGAGCCCGGTGAAATGTGCAAAGCCGTTGATGACTAGGCTGGCGGTCGCCCGCAGGACGCTGTTCCTCGGGTAAAGTGGCCTTCATCCTGGTTTAGCATCAAGTCAAGTAATGGTTGGCGATGGATACTTACCGTTTCAGAGCAATGCTGAAGAATAGTTCTGGGAGAGCATACCAAAATGCAGGTTGAGATTGAAAGTATCCGAGAGTCTCTTGTGCAGAAATGCGACGGAAAAAGTTAATGCACAGCTCAACCCATCGACACAGCTGGGAGAGAACGCTTTCTTCTCCTGAACTGGCTGTCATATTGGTCAACAAAGTGTCTGCACGGAATAGCGGACAGCTCCTACCAGTCTGGAAATATTGAACGAGGCGAGAAACTGCTGCCGGAAGAGGCTCGGCATGGTCATGAAAGGGGAAGTTGAAGATGGGGTTGGCGAAATCGCCAATACCCGTTTCTGCGTCTAAGCTGGCGGTGCTGGCGGCTGATGAGGTCGAGGTGTTGTCCGCCTCGGCGGGTAACGGTATGCGGTTGCGCGCGATCTCGGCATCGTCGGCTGATCCATCCAGCTGCCCATGAAGGTCATCGAGCTGCTGAATGTCGTGGCCCGGGTGAGGTGAGACGGGCGAGGAGGAACTGATGTCACTGTGAGGCTGGTTGCGTAGATTTATTGTCGTGACTCGACTTGAAGGTGGCTCGCTGAGAGGGCCAGCACCGGATGATTGTCGTTCGGGGGTACGGGGTTCAGCCGAAGCAGTATCGACTCGCATGGCATAAGCGTGGTCAACTTGTCCCAGATGATCGCCCTGGTCGATGGTACCAGAGCTCGTCATGTGTTGATCGGAGGCCGGACTCTCAGCAGACAGGCTGGGCGAGCCGGAGTGGGATGTGCGTCGTCGCTTACGAGATGATAAGGGTCCTTCATCGAAGGGGTTGAGTCGTGTAGGGCCGGGCTCAGACGAGGCAGCGCGGTCGGGAGCGTCCGAGGATAATGTTGGTTGATCCATCTGGCAAGCACAAGAGGTGCTCAGCACAGATGCCAGCGTTGCCTACGTCGTCGCTCGATGGGGCCAGACGAGTCAACGAGGACTGATCAATATTAGCATGTGGGATTGACTAGGGTGGTGTGCCACTAGAGGGTGCTGGACGGCTGTCTGGCGAAGGAGTGCGTGAGGGCATGCAAGGCTGTAGATGATTCATGTAATAGGATATGAGCTTGGAGGGGGATGTCGTCAGAGCAGAAGATTGTGATGAGCACTGCGACTGTTGGTCCTTCGCATTCCAGGCAGGTATGCGGGGTAGCATTCACCAGCAAGCCGGGCACGAACACGATGGAACGGAGCCAAAAGTCGGTCGCCGCCTCGTGTCACGGTTGGTGATGAGTGATGCAGTATCCCCGACGCGTATTCAATCTTCCAAGCGCGACTGCACTGAAGCTCTTGCGGGGGGGCCTGCTCGTTAGGGTGGGTTTGGCTGGACAAGTGGTGGCAAGATAGCGAGTGTAGCGAGAAGTGAGGGGGGATGAGCTCGAACGAGGCTAAGATAAGGCCAGGGTACGTGTGAAGAGACGGCGCAAGGAAGGGGCGCTAGGCAGCTATGAAATTAAGAGTTTGCTTACCTTTTGGACCGTTGGGGCACAAAGGTACCTGGCTGCGAGATGGTTCGCCGTTGTGTGTGGATAGGGATCTGTCACTGAGCCGTGACGTGATGTGCTGGTGGATGGGAGTGCAATGAAGGCGGGGAGGGGCGTGATCCGAGTAAGACAGGTAGGTGGGAAGAGGAACTGATTACATCAGATTTGGGGTCGCAGAGCCCCAGCCTGGCAGGCGTGGGCGTTGGTGTGTGGGTGTCTCGGGAGTTGAAATGCTCAAACCGAAGTGAGTGACCTGATAAAGGCGTGCGAGGCCCGGACAGTCGAGAGCAGAGTTGGATGGGGTCCAAGAATGCAGATATTACATTTGTTTTCAGTTGGCAAAAAGGGCCAAGTCGTAGGTAAGGTAGGCAGCTTTGAAGACGATGGATGTGCCCAAGGTAGCTGAGTGACTACACAGTCAGGTAAGTGAATATTTGGGGAAAGAGCTGGAGCCCGTGATGTTGAAGTAACGAGCGGGGAAGGGCATCCATGTGTTAGCACCTCAGGCAGGTTGACAGGCAGGACAAAGTGTACCTGGAGGCAAGCCTTGGGCATGGAGAGTAGTGGTTCGCATGCACTGACCACAGCACCAGCTGGGCGCCCAGGCAGGCGGTGGGCGATGCGTAAGGCGGGCTGGCTGGCAGGGGGGCCTGAAGTGAGCTTTTTCAGTTAGATCTCCAGAAACTCATGCTTCCAGCGAAGATTTTTTTCAAGTAAGTACGACCATCTGGAGAAAATTACTTCAGAAATGGGATCGCTGATCAACTGGTCCAGGCTCCAGGCTCCAAGCTTTGTTTGTGAACAGCAAAGACAGGTGGCCGCCTAATGCCGAATCACCACCACGCAGCCAACAGTTCCGAGTTCCACAAGCCACCAGGCTCGACGGCCACCCGCATTAAACATTGGCTTGACGCCAAATGCCCGAGCTAAAGGCAATAAACGCCCCATACTGGTGGAAGTAAACACACTGCATCATGAACCTTCGACCATGTTTTGGAAAGGCCGACTGGGCCTTCTACACTCATGATGACCACTTGGACTGCGACGTTGCTGAGACCGGAGGTAGCCTGTGCTCGTCTAGGCATTGAGGGGCTCGCGGCCAGGTCCCGACAGGTTGAGGTTGCATCGGGGCGCCGCTGTCACTGTTTGCCTTCCCCACTATTGGAAGACACATACCAAGCTTCCGGCCTTGGGGCACGTGGAGGCTCCCGTGATGTGCCTACCATGAGGTACGCCATGCCATTGTTCCACGTTGGAATTTACAACGTTGGAGCTCCCCGTAGCTAATACCGTTTTCGTAATCGCGAGGAATCAGGTAGAGAGTCTGACATGTTAACAACCTCTCCCGGGGAGAGGGGTAGGGGCGTTAGCGCCTCGCTTATCGCTTCTACTGCCTTAGTCTTATTGTGAGTTATTCATAGGCCAGGTCGTTTTTCTGATACAAAATCCCCCATATTCAGGCGGTCAGGTACCTCTAAGGCCTTGAAAAAAACCAACTCATACACCGCGTTCACATCAAGGTCAAGAACTTGAAGAGAACATCATGAAACCAACCGTCGCTCCCCTCCGTAAGAAAGTCGTGCACTCGGTTGACACGTCCTTTTCTTCAGTAGAATGGTATGTTGACCCAGGGATGAGAAGCCTTCATGCCGCGCCATACCTGTGACTAATTTGAGGAAGGCCTTCAATATCTGAACAAGACCAAGACGCTATACTGGAGCTAATCATCAGGTACGCTTCATAGCACACCATGCTGGGTGATCGCAAAGCTGGGCAGCTTGCTCTGAGGCAACTCCGACTGACCACTCGCACAGTCTCCTTGCGCCTCTTGGCCACCATCGCAGAACTGCACAGGCATCCAAGGGCAAGCGGGATACGAAGCGCAAACGCGACTCCGGCACATCGGTGATATCAGATTCCTTGCCAAAGCCTCCAGCCCCTGAAATAGCATCTTTTGTCGATATTGGCTTGTCTGCCATCACGCGAAATTTGCAAGAACACGTTTCTCAAAATGTCGACTCGGTTGGCACAACAAAGTTACCTTACGCCCTGATCTTCGTAGCTCGGTCAGGGCAAGCATCGGCTTTCAACAGTCATTATCCACAATTAGTGGCCGTCGCCTCACAGTCCTCGTCGTCCAACCACTCGATCAGGTTGGTCGGGTACTCAAAGCCATGCGCGCCAGCTCTTAGTGCAAGTCTAGGAATTCCTAGGGTTTCGTCTGTGGGAATACGCCACGGGGCTCCTCTATCCAAGCCTCTCATCGACTTCGTTCAAAGCTGCGTTCCTCCTATCACCATCCCGTGGTTAAGCGAAGCTGAGACTGGACAGTACCGCCACACACGTCTCATATCTGAAGAGAAGCTGGTGCCCAGTAAGCAAGCAACATCATCAGCACCATAGGCGACAAGAAAAATCATCTGCGGCAGGTCTTCAAACTTAGTCGATGCATTAGGATCAATGATTTTCAATTTCTTTTGACAAGCAACTATCTTGCCTTGCTCCAGCATAAATAACCAGAATCTGAGTCCAAGGCCGCCTCTAGAGGCCGACTCACAATCACGACCGTGTGTCACATTTCTCTTGAACTCTCACGACATGATTCCAACCTTTCTTCCATCGTGCATGAAGAAGTACATGCGAGGCAATTTACAAAGGCTTGGGGAAGGACAAAGCACAGCTGGTACTGCAAAGCGTGGGGTTCTACTTCTAATCACAAAGCTCGGTGGACTCATGTATTAAGTCCATTAGCCCATCTTTGAGGAAATCTACCGTCGGTCCTCAACCGAAATGGCACAGCCATTTGATTTGCGCAAGCCATACTTTTAATTGTCTGTCGAAGTGAAACTATTCTGTGCATAAGGGACTGGAACATGATCGCCGGGTGCCCGGAAGATTGAGCGACCTAGGTACTGAGATACAAACAGTTCGGTGTCTCCTGCTCGTCTTGATATGCCATCCCACAAGTGGAGCACAGCATCCCGAGGCAGGCAGCGGCGACCCGAGAGCCGGGTTGCTGTCGCCGAAGTCTTCTGTGCCCTCGTGGGTCTCTTCTATTTCCGAGAGTCACAAAAATGTTGCGACTTATCCTCTCTCCTTGTTCTAGGCGCCAGCTTTACCACTAGTCTTCCTCACCAACCGTGAGTTGACCGCTTCCATGAGGCAAGCCAGCTGAGTGTGCCGCACCTTCTGAAATCAACACTACAGTATCACGAGTTTCCTGAAGCGCTTGCAGCGAGCGCTATAAAGAACCATACTGAACTTTTTCTGCCCCCCCCCCCCCCCCCCAATCCATCCATCTTTCCAGTTGTTGCCCGCAGGCCCAACAGCAACCTCGAGGACTCACTATCAAGATCTGAGTGGCCTACAGCTTAGGATCAACTGCTTTTGCCAACCTGCTCACTCTCAACACGGCTTCAAATATCGACTTTTCAGAGGTGAGATAATCCTGACTTCATGGAATCGAAGGCGGCCTTGATATCGGGCATGGCAACTGACTTTACGTCCGGCAGCTACACCGCGTGACTGCCACGGTTCGAGTTGCGTTTGTCGCGGATTTGATACCTCGAGCAGTTTACAACAGAAAGTGGCTCCGTTATGTGACTCAAGCTATCTGCCTGCCGCCAAATAACTTACCCTTCCTTAGTCTATCGACTTCGTGGTAGTGTCATAGGAAGATACCAGTCCACATCATGGCGGAGGCAGAAGCTCGCAAGCAGATGATGGAGGCGGCACTTCTTCTTCAGAAGGAATTCAAGAACCCCGAACCAGATCCTTTCCGCAGGAAAAAGGGGCTCAACGCAGCTTCTAGAAATCGGACTGTACCGAAGCATCCTGTGGTTCCCAGCATCCCCGTCCTTGCTAACCGAGCGCCTGCCAAAATCCCAGGCTTAACACCATCCGGTCGCACTCCCAATCACTTCATAAGTAAGACAATGAAAACTGTTTTCGATTTCATGAAGCTTCTTGAGCTGAAACTGTACAACAGCTCCGACCGTGCCATGCGCGAGTATTGCGCATCCCCGTATGCCGTCGGCCACTAGCCTCACATCCGCGAACAATCCCGTGTCCTCTGTCTTCAGAGGCCCCTCGCCAGGCATGCGAGACAATAAGGCCCAAGATTGGCTCTGCAACAAGGATACATCGATCAAGATTAGCCAGAACAAATACCCTCCTATTCACAGTGCCGATGCTCAACCTAAGCTGTTTAGTCCTTCGACCACAACGGCTCTGGCAGACATCTCCAACGCCCTCACTTCCGACATTACCTTATCTCAAGACCAGCCGTTGCCCCACGGATCCCAGGGATGCAAGGTCGATGTCCGGGACAACGAAAAAGCTCATGGGATTGACCAGGTCAAACACTTTCCAATCAAGGTTGGCCCGAATTATGCAGACGATCTTATGGATCTTGATGATGAGTTTGTGCCTGTGCGCAATCGGTCTGTCCCAAACCCAGAAGACCTGCTTGACCTTGACGCTCCAATCGCTCAACAGAACACCCAAAGTGTCGGTGGCGATACGGCCTTCGATTTGTTCAGTCTCTTGATGGAAGGTATTGAGCAAGGCAAACCAATGCGCTTAGGTGACGCCCTGGAACGCGTCAATCTGGGCATCGACAAACCCAGGCACGAAAGCCCAGAGGACAATAACGAATTCCAGCCTGCTCGCTTCATCGCTGCCATCGAAGGGTTTGTCAAAGGCGAGTCATCACAAGAAACTGTCCAGTCGCTCCTTGACTCAGCCGTGGATGCTCTGCCGGCGCTGAGAGAATTACAGGCTCTCAGCCCACAGAAACGCTGCGAGTGCCGGTCGCCTAAGTTCAAGGCAGTGTACGGCTTATCTGCTTCCAAGTACAACGACAATCGAGGCGAAGATACAGCAGCTGATGCTCAAGACGCCTTGTTCCGGTACGTCATCGCATCCGCCCAGCAAGGAGCGACCCGCCAGGCTGCTCTCCAAGTCCTCCTCTGGTACCATGACGTCGAGTGCTCTGATATTCAACTTGCTGCCCAGGCTTATCCTATCCTTTTTGGCGCCTGCCCCGCCACTGCCGAGTCCGCAGATGCCGACCCCGACGGTGGACTTATTGTTGTGAAGGCCAACCGAGATGATGGCCATGTCGATAAGGACCTGGATGACGAGCTCTTGAGAGAATGTGACGGCGACAGCCCCAAAAAGAAGTCTGTCCGAAAGCGTGATTGGAAGGAAGCCAAGCAGGGTCGCGTCGGAGACATCAATAGGCATGGGTATGATCAGGGTTTCGGATACAACAACGTTATCTTGGGTTATGGCCAGGAGACACAAGATCGCACTGCTGATGGTCAGCAATGCAACAACTTCGACCACAGTCAAGTCGAACTGTCGGGCTCATACATGGGAGTGGACCACAAGGTTGCTCCTGCAGTCAAGAAGGGACTGTCCTCTTCTCGATGGGCTTGAGCACCTCAGGACACTCGTATCTTGGTGGACGTGACAAAAGACTTTCCATAGGACCACGAAATGAATTCACAAATGTTGTAAAAGATTCAAATGGGTGCAATGAGTTCTGGACGTAGAAGATCGTAACTTATTCTCGTGGCTACCGACGCTATATGCTCGAGACACTCTTTTCCAACAACTTGATGCTCTCCCTCACCTTGGGCGAGTAGTGCAGCCGCAACAGCTCACCCTCCCAGACGGTTGACGCGAAGGGGTTGCTACCCTCAATGCTGTCGCTAAGTCCATTGAACGTGCCGTCGCCCTTGCGCTCCTCTGTGCGCCACAGGGCTGAGATCTTCTTGCCGTGCGTGTGTGTCACGTCCTGCAGCAGGCCAAGAACAGCCTGGATGGACTTCTCGGGCATTTGCAGGGCAGCGGCCATGAGCTGCTTAGTGAAGGCGGCCAGACGCAGGGGCGGCACGGAGCGAATGTTCCAGTGGGGGAGGAGGACGGCGGTGAGGGAGCGGAGGAGAAGGACGGTCGTGGTCTGGAGATTGATCTTGGGGCCGTCGTCTTTGGAGCCAGATGGTGTTGACGAGGCTGTGCTGGAGTTGGCATTGGGGTCGGTGGCGTGGAGGGAGTGGGAGGTGAGCTCAATGTCGGGGTTCAGGCATAGGGGGTAGAGGGATTTGAAGAGATGGGTCGTGAAGTGCGAGAGGTCCAGGTGGAGGGTTGAGCGCGCATTGTGAGCGTCTTGGCCGGCAAGGAGCGCAAAGGCTGTAACGATGCAGAGCAAGGCCTCGCGGGAGGTGTTACGGACGGATTCAGACTCGTCGCCCTCCTCGCCCTCCTCATCCTCGGGGTTCTCCTCGTCGCCCTCGCCTTCGGCATCTTCCTCGGCGTGCCGAATCAGGTCCTTGAGAGCCTCGAGGAGATCTCCGAAGAAGTCCTGGTTGATGAGGTGTGCGTACTTGGCGAGACCTTCGAGGGTAGCGCCCATCAGATGGGGGACCCGGATCTTCAAGATGCGGAAATAGGTCGCAAAAACGAGCTTGAGCGTTTCAGACTGCATCTTATCGCGCTCCTCGTGGCTGACGAGGGCGTCAGCCTGCTCCATATCCTTCTCGATGGCCTTCTGCTCTTTCATGGCCTTGCGTTCACGCTTGTTGATAAACTTTTTGCGCTCCATCTTCTTTTGTTGCTTGGCCTTCAGTGACTCGGGGTCCTCATAATCCACCCTCTCGTGTGAAGCTTTACCGCCGAACTCGGATAGCAGACGCAGGTGGAGGAAAAGGTTAACGACGGCCTCGTCCACCTTGTAGTCGCGAGCGCGCATCATCTTGGAGAGTAGAGAGACGGCTTCCTGGGAGGGGTGGCCCTCGTCGTCATCGCGGAAGAGTACCTCGAGGGCGCGACGGCACCGGTTGAAGTCTGCGTCGACAATACGCTTGCTAAGCTTTCCTACGATGATCTTGAGGAGTTCGGTACGGAAGTTGAAGTGTGGGACAGCATTGAGAAGGGTGCAAGCGCACATGATGCTGATGCTGGAGATGCTCTGACCCTTTCGTCGGGACGAGGGCAAATCAGCCTTCGCATTCTTTGTCAATTGCAGAATGTAGGCATGGTAGCCCTTGATGAGAGACTGCTCGTAGACACGGAGCTTCTCCACGTCCTTGGACGTTTTCTCGCTCTGCTGCTTTTCGGCAAGAGGACGAATCCTGTAGCCGGGAATGATGTCCTTGTACACAGCCATCTGGGTGACGAGGGCGAGCTTCTGGATGGACATGATCTTGGATGTGGCGAACTCAGCCATGGCCTTTTTGAATGCGCCAAAGTGCTCCTCCGGGTCCTCGCTCATGTCGGCGGCAAACTTGGCGAGCTTCTCCTGGGCAGCGAAGATCTGCTCGCGATCGGGTATCACAGGTTCGTCGGGCTTGGGCGCCTCGGGTTCGGGGGACGATGCAACGACATCTTCGTCGACCTCAATGTCGCTGTCGATGGATTCGGCATCGTCATCCTCTTCCAGGAGATTCGACTGCTCCAGGCGTCCGTCGGCCGTTTTAATTGGCAGTTTCGTGCTCTCCTTCTTAGCCTTCTTCCCCTTTCGAGGTCGGTTTTCGTAGTCTTGTTCGAGGTTCCAGCCTGCAGCGTTCTTGATGAACGCCTTTTGAATCTTTTTGGAAGACGGCCCCGAGGAGACCTCATCCTCTGGGGGAGGCGTCAGCTTTCGCCTCTTGGGAGCTCGTGTTGTCATGGTGTACTGTGGTGCAGGGTCGTCGACTTGCTTGCGATCCGATGTTCTGAGCTTCGCAGCGCTCTCGACTCAATCGAACTGAAATTTTTCCCTGTCCCGCCAAACAAAATCCGCTGGACCCCTGCCTAAAGTCGGGGCCTCGCAGGGCCGACCACCGATCGTTATGTAAGCGCACCTCACTATAGGGACGGAGCTTTCGGTGGAGGGGCGGGGAGCTCCAAGTGCACCAGCTTCGTGGTATCGATAAGCCTTGAGCGCATGTCGCAGCCCTCACCGCCCGAAATTTTTCGATTTTCTGCCGCTCTACCATCGCTACCGATTGGAAGCGCCATCCATTGGTTGTCATTTCTGCCTGCAGCTCACGACCGACCGCCCGTGATACAATAGACCCCGACAAGCGCAATCATGAGGCCCCTCGTGGAAGAAGAGACCAAGAAGGTCTTCGCCAAGCTGGCCAACTACACTGGTGGCTCGCTGAAGCAGCTGATCCAGCCGCTCGACAATGGTAACCCCGCCTGCTCCCTCTGTGCGATTTGGGGCCGTCTGCTAATGCGCCGCATCAAGGTGACCGATATGTCCTCCGTCTGCAGAAGGACCGCGTCTACTACGTCCTTCTCTCGATCGCGAACCTTGCTGTCAGCATTGAGCGGGCGAAGCTGCTGTCCATCGGCACATGTCTTGGTGAGTCGCTGTTCCCGCTGCCAACAGGCCAGGCAGTCCTAGCAGAAGCGCAAAGACTGATCTCATGAGTTGTAGGCAAGTTCACAAAGAAGGGTTCCTTCAAGCTTCACATCACAGCTCTGCCTATCCTGGCCGAGCACGCCCGTTACAAGCTCTGGGTCAAGCCCAATGGCGAGATGCCCCTGCTGTACGGTAGCCACTGTAAGAGCCCACCCCCTTCGCTGTGATGCCCAGCCCCGTCGCGCCTGTGCTGACCTGCTCCCAGGTGTGAAGGCGCACGTCGGTCGCTGGACCGACGATATCCCCGAGCACGCCGGCATCGTCTTCTACAACATGGCCGACGTCCCCATCGCCTTTGGCGTCACTGCCCGCAGTACCGCTGACGCCAAACGCCTCGACCCTACCGGCATCGTCGCCTTTCGTCAGGCCGATTGCGGCGAGTACGTTCGCGACGAAGATACGCTCTTCTCGTCCGGTTAAGCGGGGCAATCCACGACGCAGACCTTTTTCAGAGCGGAAATGTGGAACTGAGTATCTCATCTTTGTTGTAGCATGGCAGGCGTTCGGGGCGTCGAAAACAGGCGGGGAGGATTATCCTCTTGTGCGAGGCTCAAATTTCATCTCATGTTTCTCTCACGTTGGAACGGAACCACATGGCTGTCGACCACGCGAGACGCGAACAAATTTACAACGGAACAGAAAACAAGACATTTACCAGTAAACTTTTGGCCAAAACCCAAGCCATCTCATATAAGTGCAAGCCGTGAGGCACAGATTCTGTTGAAGAACTGCAGGGTGTGTAATGCACTCCCTCTTCTCTGCAAGCAGCAGACACTCTCCTCGTCGTGGGCTCGAGGCTGCACCGTATATACCTGACTGAACAAGGTATTTGATGTAAAGAAAATCTCTGGGTGATATCCATCCCGTAGAAATGCGACATACAGCTTTTCGCGCTTTTTTGAAAATGAGATACCCTATACGCCCCCAAAACTCCATCTACACTCGTGCCTCGTAGCCTGAGATGCCCGCGCCCAGAGTCTCGGCGACCTCCTTAACGACCTCGAAACTCGGCGTCTGGGGCCGGCTCTCCCGCCTGAAGAGACTGATGTGCTGGCGTTCAGCCACGTACTCGCTGTCGGCATAGCCAAGGAGGCCCTGAATCTCGGCGCTCTGATGGCCCATGATACGACCGACCTCGTGCGCCGCGTAATTGACCAGGGCACGGCCGACCTCGGTAGGGTTGCCGCCCCAGATGCGACCTGTAGGGGAGGGGACGTGAAGACGGTCCACGACGACGAGGCGGACTGACTCATGTTGGGCAAAGCTGCCCTCTACGTCGAGGACACCTGCGGGAAGGAGACCTGCCTTGCGAAGGAGGGCACTGTGGGCCCCTGCATCGATGTAAATCGTGCCGTTGGGACGCAGTGTGTGGAGGAGCCAGAAGTGGCGATCGTGAATGGGCTCTGCGGACGGCAGGAAGCAGGTGTGTAGCGGAGGCTTCTCGAGATTGTCGAGCTGGATGGAGGCTGTGGAGGCGGCGAGGAACTCCTCCATGCCCTCTTCGTCGTCTTGGTTGGGGATGTTGGCGGCTTGCAGAATGTTTCGAGCAGCGTGTTCGTACCGGACAATCTCAAGGATGTTGCCAGGATTTGAAGAGCGAGTGACAATAGTTGTGACGCCAACAGAGGTCGCGAGGCGGGCGGCGATGATTTTGGTCATCATGCCGCCGGTACCGAGCGAGGAACCGGCGCCGGAAACTGTCCAGTCAGGATTTGGAACTGACAAAAGGGCAAAGGGGTGCACAACTTACCATCTGCCTCGAGAGTCGATATGTCTTCCACAATCTCAATCGCTTTCGCGTCGGGATGTGTCCGGGGGTTCTTGTCGTACAGACAGTCGACATCGGTCATGAGGAACAGCATGTCGGCATGGACCATGCCGGCAGTGATAGCGGATAGCGTGTCATTGTCGCCAAACTTGATTTCTGACACGGCAATGGTGTCGTTCTCGTTGACGATGGGAATGACACCAAGGCCGAGCAGCTCATTCATCGTGTTTTGCGCATTGGTGTATCTTGTCCGCTAACAGACATGTCAGACGCTGACTCCGAGGCTGACAAGGGGGGTGGGACGACTTACATCGGCAATGTCATTCCTCGTGAGAAGGATTTGTGCCACCGGTTGCCTGAAGTGCATAAACAGACTGTCCCAGAGGCTAATGAGCCTGCATTGGCCAATTGCTGCCAAGGCCTGTAAAGAGCTGTTAGGTGGTGTCTCGAATCACTTCTCCACTGACGTATGAGCGACATACCTGCAATGCCGACAGGTGTTTTGGCCTGTGATCCATTTCCATACGAAGAAGACCGACGCCGATGGCGCCGGAAGAAACAATGATCACGCGATGGCCATCCTTCTTCAGCTTGATGGCCGTCTCAACAATGAGCGTCAGTATGGACAGAAGAGGCTGGTGAGTTTCCTCGTCGACAATAGAGCTGGTTCCTGGAGTTTCACCGGGTCAGCGACCAGTGGCATGTGAAAGGACGCGAGGGCGGCACTTACCCAGCTTGAGGACAACCGTCAATGGCTTGATGCCCCTCATGGCTACAACGAATATCTCCAGTCAGTGAAAGACGAATACGTATAAGCATATACTGGCGCGCGGAAGCAAGTCAAGGCGCGAAGAACAAGACCAGAAACGAGGACAAATCCATGTAAATGAAGTGAAATGAAGGCGCAGAAAGGCAGGAAACCCAAAGGAGCGGAGAAGCAGAAACCGAAAACATCGCATCTAAGTATGAATCCACGGCGAAGGCTTCTTACATGCAGTGCCACTTTCGTTCGCCATGGTCGGTCCAGTCAAGTGCGATCAAGTCCTTGTTTGCGGTGGTAGTGATATGCAGGAGGATGGATCAGGGGACGTCTTGGTGTGTCGATTCCCCAGGTTCCCTTTGGCCCAGCAAGGCTTCTTGGGGGGGCAGGCAAAGGCGGGTGAGGCAGGCAAGGCAGGTAAGGCAGGCAAGGCAGGCAAGGCGGCAGACGTCAGGGTTGGCGTTTTCGCAGTTTTTGAGTCAGCGTTGTCCAGCGAGCCTCTTGGATTGGTGAAGAGCCAAAAGTGGACCGACATCGGGGGGGGGGAGACATCGGTTGGACGACCCCGACCCTCCCGAAGCTTTGCATCACTGTCAGTTCGAAAAGGTACCTAGAGACCGAAAGTGCGCACTAAAAGCCTCTGACGACATTTGCCCAGGCTGTTCTCCGCGCCTAGAGCGCCCCTAAGTGTGCCGTCTCACCGCTTGAAAACTGGGAAGCCCGCCCGGGACCCAGGGCCGTGCATGAGGGCCCCGTCCACCGTCAATAGGGTACTTCCGGCCCGGCCAAAGCCACCTTTCGGCCGGGCCTCCGCCCCACCCTTAAGGTACCTTTCTTAGGCCCATGTACTGCTGAAGGGCTTGACCAGGGGAGCGGGTACGCTGGCAGAGAATCGACGAACCACGCAGGCACGACAGGCTCCATCCATCACTGATCACCATCCACCATCGCCCGACCTGGACGTTTAACGCATCAGACCATCGCGACGGACTGTCTCGCACAAAGTGGCACCGGATTGCCATTGCCCTCATACGACAATCACACTCTCTCCTACCGCCTGCTGAGACTCGGGCATACCGCGACATCCTCGTCTTCGCCAGAGGCGCGCATCTTCACCATGGCCTCTCCCACCAGCGCTGTCAAAACCGCTGCCCTGCCGCTCGACACCACGATACCGCCAACTCCCTCCTCGTCCACGCCAACCTCCGCAAACCCTACCGAGCCGCGAGTCCTCCACAATGATCCCGCCCGCACGGGTTTCGACCCCCAGACGAAGTGGTGGGTCAACTACTTCAACATCCTCACCGGCAACATGACCCGTGAGGGCCAGTTCCACTACCGCGAGCACCGCTACCGCGTCAACGAGGAGCGCGACATCCGCCGCGTTGAGGCCGACCGCGACTGGCTCTTCGCCTATTCCCCGACCATTCGTTTCATGCGCGAGAAGATCGAGTCCCTCAACGGCACCCTCGACGAGACAAATGTCGTCTGCCGCCGCTGCCCAGCCCGCCTGACCGAAGATGGCGAGGTCCATCGCCAGAGTGGCGGCTTCAGCCCGGCGCACGGCATCCTGATCTGCGCCAACGAGATGCGCGACCGGAAACACCTCGAAGACACGCTGGCGCACGAGATGGTGCACGCCTGGGACCACCTGAGGTGGCAGGTCGACTGGCTGGGCGACATGGAGCTGAAGCATGCTGCTTGCACAGAGGTATGAGAACCCCAAGAACTACGCGTGGACATGTGCAACCTGTGACAATGCTGACGAGGCGCAGATTCGAGCGTCAATGCTTAGCGGCGAGTGTAGGTGGACCAGGGAAACATTTACCAGAGGAAACTGGAAGTTGTCGCAAGGCTTTCAGGATTGCGTGCGGTCGAGGGCTATCCAGTCTGTCATGAACAGGCCGCGATGCAAGGACGATGTCCAGGCGACCAAGGTCGTCAACCAGGTGTGGGACTCGTGCTTCGCCGACACCAGGCCGTTCGACGAGATTTACAGGTGATGGCTTGACTCGAGGAGGAAGGGTGAGTGAGATTGTACCATATCATGTAGGTGATACCACGGACGAGTTTTGGCGGACAGGCAGGCATTGATGTGAGTGTAATGAAGATCTCTCTGGATTATTGTATGCAGAGTGCGAAAGTAACGAACCCAACTCCCCAAAAGAATATGCACAAACCACTCCGTTGTTCCTGATCCCTGGCCACTGCAAATGAAAACTCGCACGACTGACTCCTCCATAACGCCATTATCCTACATCAATCCGGACAGACTATTTACCCTCGTCTTTATGTGGCCGGCTGGTGCGTAATTCATCATCTCATTAAGTCGAGTACTTCTCGCGGTTGGCCGCCCGCTCACCCTTGATGCAGTGTTTGACGATCCAAGGGTGGCTCTGGACCTGCTCGAGGGGAATCCTCTTATCGGGATCGAGAACCAAAAGCTTTCAACCGGTTAGCAGTGATCGGGGTTCCGGGACGTGATGAACACTCACTCTCTTGATCAAGTCCTTTGCCTCCGGGCTGACAAATGAGGGCACCGTCATGTCGGCCCTCGCAATCCTCCGCTGCGTCATGACGGGCGAGTCCTCAAAAGGCGCCTCACCGACGAGGAACTCGTACATGAGCACACCCAGACTCCACAGGTCGACCTTTTCGTTGTAGTAGTTGTCTGAGCTACCGGGCTTGATCATCTCGGGAGGAAGGTAATCGAGAGTTCCGCACATGGTGTTGCGTCGGTTGTTGGGCGCATGCACGCTCCAGCCGAAATCAGAAAGTTTGAGCTCGCCGTGGATACCGACGAGGATGTTTTCAGGCTTGATATCCCGGTGAATGACGTGCTTGCGGTGGAGATAACGGAGCGCCGAGGCCATCTGCGCTACGTACTGGGCGGCCTTCCACTCAGGGAATTTGTTCTCGCGACGAAGATGCTTGTAAAGCTCGCCCTTGCCGGCGAATTCGAGAATGAGGAAGACTCGCTTGCTGTCGTGGAAGTGCCCGTACAACTGGAGAATATTGGGATGCCTCAGGTTGCTTTGAATCTCAATTTCCCGTCGCACCTGCTTCTCGACACGGCCTTGTTGAATCTCGTTCTTGTGCAGAACCTTTAACGCGCAGATGAAGCCGGTAGTGCGCTCCTTGGCGAGGTAGACGCGACCGAACTTGCCTTTGCCCAGGGGACGGCCAATTTCGAACATGCCCAGGTGGAACTGCTTCGGGATGCTGGGCTCAGCGACCATGGTCACCGCCTTGCGTTCGACTTCGACAACCTCATCGGAGCGTGATGCAGCCGAAGAAGGGAGGGGCTTGCGGGGAGGAGATGTTGGGTTGTGGGCTTTTCGCTGTGCTGCTTGCGAAGGAAGCGTTACGGAGGCAACGGTGTTGGTGTTTTGGGACTGCAGGGCGACCTTAAAGAGGTTGGCTCGGCTCGAGCTCTGTGGCAGTTGGGAGGTTCTGACAGATGCAACAGCCTAGAAGACATCGTGTCAGTATATGGAGTCGATCCAAGCTACCGTGAACTTTACCTGTTGCTTTGAGTAGACCTTGGTACCATCGCCAGAATCGTTCTCGTCGTTCACCGTCATGTGCTCGAATCGAGCCTCGAGCGTTCGAGTAGCCATGGCTTCGATTGGCAGGGAAGACAACTCTGGTGGGAGATAATCACTCGAAGACCTGAGCCAGATGCACTCACGTCCTGGACCTGTGGGTTAGTATTTGAGGGCGGCACTGCGACTAGGTAGAGGTGAGAGAGCTAACATCAGCCATCGTCCGTAGCGGAGTTATACAGGGTGCCTTCACTACTCGGCCCCAAACATTCGATTTGGTGTGGTTGCCGGGGTGACAGTGTCACGTGTGCCCATTCCGTAACCCAGTCGCCAGACCACGCCCCCACTCCATTTCACCCACTCGATGGTTATGACATCCCTTATTACCTCCTTGCAACATAAACAACTTCATCGCAGTGCGCTCTGCACATCGATACCTCTAAGTTGCGAAGGGAGGATAAACTAGCTGCTGCATAGGGCATCCCCTGCGGCTGCCAACTAGGCCGTTGTAGGCCAGACCTCACCTTGCATCTTATCAAGAGTGACTTGGCTCAGATTCAATCTTTATCTCTGCCCGTGGCGCAAACGCCGGAGTTCTACCTCTACAGTTGTCTTCATATACCAGCCGAGCTCTGACGAGGTCTCACAAATGATTGCCATGAAGCGAGCTCCTACATCAAACCGCCGCGTCAGCCATGGTCCTTGCAGGTCTATGACACAGAGCCAGCTGAGAGTTGAGCTGATTCACTCGGATCATTTGGTCGATGAACACGAAGGTATGCGTGTTCTGTCAGATAATGTTGACAGTCTGCATACGTAACCCAGTGGTAAAGCTAGGGACTTCACTAAGTTTCAGAGGGCACTGCAATGCCAAGATCAAACAAAACGTAGGCTTGGGCAACTCGGGGCGCTTATAATATCCTGCGCATTGACCAAGATAGGCAGGACTCAGCGATCGTGTTCAATCATTGAATTCTGTTGTCATCCAATCTTCCTCTCTCCCAATTCGAGATCTCTCGACTCCAAAGACCAGAAATCGGCCATCGGGGTCTCTCCATGCCCATCGATGACAAGGCTGCCGAGATGACCCCACGTTTGCGCCATCATACTGATCAGCTGGGTGTAGTACGGTATTAGGTGTAGCATTGTGTGACAGATACCATCGGTCCGCCCCATGGTGGTATTCAATCAGATAAAACTCGAGGTAGAGTGGCTACTAGCTCGGTCGGCGTTCGTGCGCTACCTACAGTGAGCCGGCAAACAGGGGTCTCATGCTTCCCCGCCAAACCCCACTACCAAGCTCGTCAAGCTCCATGGCTGCAAACGTGAAGGCAGTCCCGATTTCACACATCGCAACAACACGATCGAAAACACGATCAGTCGTTTGACACCTTTCTCGTAACCCTCTCGAACCAGGCGCAGTCATGAACCCAATCACTGCTATCAACGAACCCTTTCCGACGCCGTCCATTCAGGGCGCCGTCGATGCCGCGACAACCACCCACCCCCAGGGCCGCTTTCGCATTGCGACCCGCAAGCTGCCCATCTCCAAATCGGGGCCCATTGACGAAATGACAGAACGTCTCGGCATCCCCGTTCCCGAGATGATATTCGGCGACAACCTCGTCTCCCTGACGCACGCGCCCTCGGGCTGGTCTCTCGCCTTCAACGCCTACGACGCCCTCGACCACGTCGACAAGACGGAGAAGAACATGCTGCAGGTCGCGTACGCCCGCGACTGGTCCAGCAGTCGGGAGAAGACAAGCGCCGGTATCAAGGAAGTTGTCAAGCCGTATGACTGGAGCTACTCGACTGACTACGACGGGACGCTCGCCGCGGGCGCGCAGGCGTTCCAGCCCACGACGAAGGAGATCCCGCTCGAGTTGCTGAAACGCCGAGACCCTATCCTCTTCTTTGACGAGGTCATGCTGTACGAGTCGGAGCTTGACGACAATGGCATTTCCATCTTCAGTGTCAAGGTACGGGTGCACGAGCAGCGCATGCTGCTGTTGTGCCGGCTCTTTATGCGGTTGGATAACGTGCTCGTGCGTATTCGCGACACGAGGGTATACGTGGATTTCGCAGGGGACTATGTGCTGCGCGAGTATACGGCAAAGGAGGACAGCTGGGCCAATGTCAGGAGAGTAAGTCGGTCGTGCGAACATATTCAGAGCGTGGCAACTAACGAATGTGACGCAGTCCTTGTTCATGTCTGGCCGGCTACCAGATGACATAACGATCGCGCTCAGAGATGCAAACTTACTGTCCACTCTGCTCCCGACAGTGGGCCGGAAGATTGAAGAGGTCAAGCTGCGTTGATATAGTTTTATTTTGGGCTCAAGGCATTGTCTGGCGTTGAACGGCGTTCCCAGGGTTTGGGCGTAATTGCTTACTTCGAATCACGAATGGAAGGGTCAACAAGGACTGAACGGATTCATGCTTGGTTGTATACGCTCATGTGTGCCTCGGCCGCGAATCGCAGACTTGTAGGCATTTAAAAATCCCGTCTCCAAACAGAAATCATCCACCCGCCCACAAAAACCGAAAATCACCGGCAAGCCACCTATACATCCATCCGGCCTCGTTGTTGCAGAATCTGAGGCAACAACTCACTCCATACATCTTTCACTCTTCATAAACCTTGAAAACCCCCAATCAGGTGAGCGCATCGACTCAGTTCCCAGCTACCCATCACCGCGCGCCGCTCGGAGACGAGCTTTGGGTCAACTCCTCGAACTCGAGCTCCCATTGGTCGACTTCTTTGAACTTCGTCACAGCATTCTTCAACTCATCTGCTCCAGTAACGTCTCCTTCTTCGGGCGTTGCATCGAACGTGTCGTCGGGTGCTGGACTGAAACTGCCCTCCTCTTCCTCATCATCTGTGTTCTCCTTGTCTGACGATCGACGACCATATGTCCGCCTGCGAGCAGCGGGGGCACCTGCCGTCGCCGCCACAGCTTTGGTGCTACGTGAAGCAGGACGGTTGGTTGAGCTTCGTTTGAGCGGTGTCGTCCGTGCGCGTCTTCGAGATGCCCTGGCATCAAGGTATGAGAGCTCATCGTCATCTTGGCCCAGGCCCGAGTTATCAACCTCAGAGTCAGACTCTGCATCATTTCCCTTCCGTCGCCGGCGGCGGGGAAGCAGGCCGGCTAGATCAGCAGTTGTCACCTGTGCAGATGCTTTCTGGCCCTTTCCTTGCTTTTGCGATTTTCTTTGCCGCGCATCTCGGTAATTGGGTGAGTGCGTAAGAGACGGGGGACATGAGGCATCAGAAGTATCGCCAGCGCGAGTGGGGGTTATGGGCGCATGGTGGCGGCGTCGTTTGGCAAGGTTGTGAATATCTGGCCATGGCTCGTCCTCTGACCCGCTGCTCATCGGCGGTGCCATGATCTCTTCGTCGAAGGGCGTAACTGGGCGGGCCAATGCTGGGAGCACTGGCGAGGCCATTGACGACAGGGAGCTGAGGTCTGAATCGTCATCGCTTTCTTCTGCGGCCTCGTCGCCAATGTCCTCTGGAACGTTGCTTTCAGTTGGTTCGTCGAGGCGCAATGACTTTTCGGGACGGTCACTCGTGTTCTGAGCGTCCATGCTCTTGCGCTTGCGGGACTTGACGCTTGATGTGACATCGGGCTCCTGACCGGGGTCCTTCTCAATCGACTGCTGCACCTCGCGCCGGTTCAACGGCGTGGACTCTGCCTCTGGCGCAAATACCTCTCCGTCATCTTCGTCCTGTGCGCCGGTCCCCTCCTGATCATCGTCGACATCCGAAGAGTCGTCAGAAGGCCTCGGTGCGCGCGCCTTCTGCGCAGTCCCCAAAATACTTGGCTCACGTGCTCGCCTCTTGAACGCGCCAATGTTGAAAGAAGAGCTTATGACTGGCGTTGCGCCCACACCTCGGCTCGGCGGTCGGATTGGCGCATCATTGCCCTGAAGGCTGATGCTAGGGGTGCGGCCACGGCGTTTGTGGCCCATTCCAAACAAACTCGAAGTATTTGTTGACCGGTTTCCGCTGGCCGTAACGCTGCCGGGGATCTCGCTCTCGTCTAGACCTAGACTATCGTCGAGCGCGTTGAACATCTCGCTGTCCAGCTCCAAGCCCGTTAGGTCGCGTCGCTGCTGGGCAGGCGTCGCGTGCTCCTTCCTCCCAAGTTCAACCTGAGCATCTTCTGATGACACGACTGCATTCCCTGAAGAGGTCGACATGTCTTCGCCAGCTAACCTCTGCATGGCGAGGTCGCGGTCGTGGCTCGTCTTCTGTAGAGCCTTCTTCCCACTCGCTGTGACATTTGATCGAACCGCCCTCAGGCGCTCGTGCTCGCGGTCGCTATGGCTGTAGATATCGTCGCTGGACTTTTCGGAAGCGGGCGCAGGTGCGGGCGCATCCACGGGTTTGGCTGGTGCTGCAGCAGCGCGAGCAGGAGCGCGACGTGATCGCGTGGGGCGCGGCATGCTGCGCCGAAAGTTGGGACGTAGATGTGTTCAAATTACGATGGGCCAGAAAATTCAGTCTTACTACGCAGACAATGAAGTTCCGAGCCTGTGGGATAGTGGCGTGTTTGTTGGTACAAGAGAAAGTACGCGCGATGCAACTGTGTGTCGGGGGAGAAAGGCTGGGTGGGTGTTAATGTTCGCGATGGTGGGAGAAACACGAGACGCGTCGCGCCACGACTCCGAATGCCAAGCCCCACTCAAGCTCGCGCCACACTCATACACCCAGGCCACCAACCCCGGCTTTATCCAGTATCAATGACGACCACTTCTTCACATGCATATACATCCTTACACTATCGTCATGAGAATTACTTGTTACGCACTGGAATGCCGGACGGCCGTCAGCCAACATCGGTGGTGTTCGAGTCGACAAGATTCAAGATCGACACGCCTCGGTTAACGATCAAGATCGGCTGGTCTTTAACGAGTCAAAGTGTACGATGACCCTTGGCTGCCCCTTTAGACGGCTTTTCTTATCCCTTGTTTGTTTGTGCAAGCTGCACATCACCAAGCCAGAAATCCAATAGAGAGTGTTGCAGTAAGCTTATTGACTGCCATTCGATGGAGATGTGTACACTTTTTTTTTGTGCCTCCAGACCCTGATCAGCGCCGAAGTCTATGTGACATGATTAAGAAATACAAGATGATACAGGAGGTATACAGCAGATAACCTTACATACGCGCCCAGCGTGTTTTTAGATGAGCGCCTGGCCCATAAACATTGCACGCTTAACCTCTGCGATAACGTCCTTCCGGTCTTTGCTCCCAGCCAGAACTATACCCCTTCCACGACGACCCATCCGGCCGGCCCTTCCAAGTCGGTGGATAAAGTCGATGGTGGTGTGAGGTACGTCGTACAGGATGACGTGACGGACAGCCAACGTGTCAATACCTCGCGACGCCAGATCCGTGGCCACAATAACCTTCACATTCGGCAGCTTGCGGCCGCCTGTGGGGGCCTTGTCAGAGGCGGGTGCTCGCATGGGCTCGGCGCTCGTAAAGGACGCGAGCATGGCGGACTGGCGCTCCTGGGCCGTGTCCCTGTGCAGGGCGATGGCGTCGATGCCTTTAGACTGCAGGTACTCCGCTACAGGTTGCACAGTCTCGCGTTCGTTGACGAAGACAAGGACACGGCGTATGTCGAATTCGTCCTTGATAGGGCCCTCGTGGCGTGATGCCTCGCGGCCAATGGTTTGAATAGCATCAGCAGTTGCTAGGTCTTTGTTGTTGCGGTACGGGTCTTTGGAAACATCGACAACACCCAATTGAACACGTCTCGGCACGGCGTGAAGGTTCGGCGTGGTGATGCGGACCATGTCGGGGAATTGAGCAGCAAGATACTTGTCCAGGCCTCGGGGAATAGTTGCAGAACAGCATACGAGCCTCTTCACCGACGGCAGTGCCTTGTTGACGATGCTCGTGGTAAGGGGGGCGAAGCTACGGTCAAAGAGAGAGTCAGCCTCATCGATGATGAGATGGCTGACCTGCGAAAGGATGTTAGGGTCTGAGTCCGCGATGGAGGCCAACAGCTGTGGTGTCGCGATGATCAGATCGATTCCTCGGTTGGAGTATAGGTTGCGCTCCACAACCTCAGCGTTCTGCTTGGCGGAAAGCTTCTCAGACTTGAATTTGACAGCGTGCGACAAAGTCTTGGCGACAGCGCCAACCTGGTCGACGAGTTCGGCGGATGGAACGAGTACCACAACCTTGGGCCGTGCCATGGTAGGGTGAGGCTCTTCCATCTTGGATCTCGACTTGGAGTTTCGCTGCCATTCCTTCTCTTCCTCCAGCCTCTTCTTATGAGCCTGAATATCGGGATCCGCTGCTTCAGCGACCTTGATGGCATTTACGGCGGGCAGCAGGTAGGCGAGCGTCTTGCCGGAGCCCGTCTCGGCCGCGAGGAGGAATTCCTGTCTCTGTTCAGTCTTGCCCCTTCCGAACCGAGGTAAGAACCGGCTTTGCTGGCCCAAAAGGGCAGGAATGGCCAGTCTCTGAACAGGAGTCGGTTTGATGTCGATCATGCCCTTGAGAGCGTCGTCAAACAGCGCCTTCTTGACCGATGGCAACAGGTCGAACTGATCAAACGACTCGTACGAGCCCATTTCGTCTTTGATTTGTGTCCTTTTTCGGTACGAGATGTCTGCAAGCGCGCGATGCATCTTGAGAGCCCTGAAATCCTCGCGATCATCTCTGCGGCGTCGGTCGGCGGATCGATTATGGGATTGGGTCGGTGTCTGGGAACGGGATGTCGGGCTTGGGCGTCCTCTGAATTGTGTCTGGTTCATGCCACCAAACGGGCCCTCAACGGCTCTTCTCGGTGGTTTGGCGTTATTTAGCCCGAAGGGGGACGGGCGGGCGACTTGCTTGCGATCGGATAGAACCATCCGCGATGGCTTCCCCCGAATGGTTCTTTGCGATGCGAACCCTTGGGCAAGTGTTATTGGAGGAGGCGTCAGCAGAGCAGCCCGCGGCCGAAGGGCAAACTGGCAGAGAAGACATTGTGAGCCCATCGTGCGAGGCGGCATATTGCTCTTCTCGGCCCTTGAACGTAAATATGGATGGGTGGAATTGTTGAAGGGGGACTACACTTTTGGCATGAAGCCCATCAGAAACTAAGCGGTCGAAAATTTGGAGCTTCGGAGGGTCGCCTGAAGTCGCGTTAGCGTGTCTGCGCGCCAACGTGGACCCGCCGGAGTGCTTCAGCGGTCTTTCACCAGGTCCCATTTACGCCTACGTCTTGGCATTCGATAAGATTCTGTCAAAACTTATCGCACTGGAGTTTCCAGGCTGCTGTACCACGTTGTTATGTTGCCTTGACAGATGAGAACGAAAGAAATCAATTTCTGCATGGCAGGATCAAAAACATGTATGTAGTTTACAAAGTCATAAACAGGATCGAAGCAGCCCATCATTTCCGTCCCGTGGCGTCAAAACCAACCAAAGTCCTATAGGGAGAAAGTACCTTGGTTCATGTGGTATCCTTAAGCTCATCATGCAAATAGCCTTAGTCAGCTTGCCCGCTTGGCTGGGACGATGGACCTCGCTTGGGCCAGCCCATCCACAATGGACTCGACCATCTCTATGAACCACGTCACCTCGTTAAACCCCTGAACGGTTGTCTCACGGTTCCCCTGGTTGGAGTTAAATAAGCAGAGCATGTCGAAAAGTGCTGCAAATCATGAGTGCCGATCTGTTTGCCGAGTTTAACACCTTCTCATCGAAGCCCCAAAGCCAACAATCTCAGCAGACAGGTCAACCGCATCCTGTTACCCAGCAACAACAAAAGGCGGATCCGTTCGACTTCTTCGCGTCAGGCAACGCGCCTGCTCAAGTGAACCAGCATGCCCAGGCATGGCCTCAGAGCCAGGACCAGAGCCAGCGCCAGAGCCAAACTGACAGCTTTGGTGGTTGGGGTGACTTTTCCTCACTCTCAGCTTCACAAGTCAGTCAGCAGCAACCGCAACCACCAGTTCCAGCGACCGCAGCAGGAGGCGACGATGACGATGGATGGGGCGATTTCGAGGTCGCTGAAGGGCCTTCGGAGCCTTCAATCACCTCGGCTCTGGAGCCACCCATCGCCGCACCAGTACTGCCAGCCAACATCTCAGCACCGCCAACACGAACACGGGTCCACCGCGCTTCAACCTTGGATCTCATGACCAACAGTTTGGTACCTGTGGAAGGGCAGAGTGACCCACGCCAGCCTTCTCTTTCTCTTCTCAAGAGTGCCGTTGTTCAGGCTTCCAAACCCAAGCAGCCGAAGCCCAAAGACCCAAACGTTTTATTCGATGCAGAAGACTCCGATGTGGAAGTGGATGATGATGACGACTTCGGAGAGTTTGAAGTGGGCGAGACTATGTCTGCGCAGTCATCACAACAGCCAAGCAAGCCATGGCAGCATCAACCAAAGTCACCGCCATGGCACAATCAGCCAAAGTCGCCCCCTTGGCACAATCACCCGAAATCGCCGCCCTGGCACAACGCGCCCCAGCCGCGAGAGCAACAGTCACAGGTAGCGTCATTAGCATCACTGGATCTTTTGTCACTGGAGGACCCCCCTGTTACTCAACCGAAGAGACATGTCTCTCACTTGTCGTCGCTCAGCGTCGCTTCATCTACTTCTACTTATCCGCAGGCACCCAAGTCACCTTCTTTCTCCGAACGAAACCCTTTCCCTGGCTTGGCTCTGAAGACTCCCACGTCGCCCAACTTTCCGAAGGAACCAGCCAACAACCCTGAAAGCCCAACCCCTGTGACGGCATGGCCAGCCTTCGGCCAAACGTCTCCAAAGAAGGAGGGTCAAAGCCAGAGCAATGAAGCCGCCAACCCCAACGACCATTGGTCACCGTTTGAAGACTTCTCCCCAATGCCCGGCCAACAGAAGAATGCCATCGATTCCAAAGAACTTCCTGAGAGTTGGGATTGGGATGCTGTCGATGGAGTCGATACGTCGTCTTCCAAGCCTGCTGTCAAAACTACGGCCAACACAGCGCGCAAGGTTCAGAACGCGAACACCAGTGGTAGTGATGCTACTCCTCCCACGAACATACCACCACCTTCAGTGCTGCTCTCCATATTCCCTGAGCTTCTTGCCCTCGCCAACACGAGCCTGTTCAAGCCAGCAGCCTCTCAGCCAACGTCTATCAAGGACCGCATCGCCTCCGACCCAGGCACAATTATCTTTCTCCAGGGGTACCTTGCCCTTGCCGCGGTTGCTGCACGCATTATCGCAGGCCGCAAACTGCGCTGGCATCGTGACAAGTTTCTTGCCCAAGGTATGGCCATTTCCAGCGCCGGCGGAAAGGGCATGAAGCTCGCCGGCGTAGATCGCGCGCAGACGGCTCGCGAAGAACGCGAGGCCGCTGACGTTGTTGATGTGTGGAAAGAGCATGTCGGCCGGCTACGGTCAGCAGTTGCGGCAGCCAAGTTAGCACCTGGCGGACAGCAATTGAGAGTACCAGACTTGGCGGAGAACATGGCTGTGACCACGGCCAAAGTCGTTCCGACGGCTCCTAAGGCTTGTCTAGTGTGTGGCTTGAAGCGTGACGAGAGGGTAGGCAAGGTGGACTTCGATGTCGAAGATAGCTTTGGTGAGTGGTGGGTTGACCACTGGGGACACCGGGCATGCAAGAACTTTTGGACTGAGCATGAGAAACAACTTCGCCAACGATGAAGGGCGCGCGGGAATTTGCAGTTCTTTTTTTCGTATATAAATCTGACGAACACCGAGGCGGTGCAGTTGCAAACTCCATCAATGTGTTCAAGTGGCTCGTCATACTTGTCAGCATGCTCCGACAATCTGGGCCTTGCCAGGTCAAGGGATTAGTCACCACCAGGCCGGCGTAGATATTATAGCAAGCCCGAGAACCAATAATTGACCAGACACCTGGCTGCTGGCTGTATTCTCTCTACCTGGACGTCCTTTGAGGCCATGAGACCAGATAGAGTACGTGGGAGTCTTTCAAAACAGCCCTGGGGCTGAGCCATATTGAGCGAAAACGGCGCTGCATTGACCTAGCCCCCAGGCATCATTGGCACCGAAAAGGCTTGCTTCAACCTCTATTCCTGTCATTGGCACTTTTAGGGTTGAACCGACCCATGCGACTACCGAGACAGTCAGGCACGTTGAGTGGCCCAGGCGTTGGAATGCAGGAGCCACGAGCGAGGGAGGGGGCATCAGAGGTCCAGGTACCATGCAATGCGCTGGCAGGAGGGGCAGGAAACATCGTACCCAGAGTGCTCCTACTACATAAATGTACTTTCCGTCTAGTCTCGCTCAGTACTGGTGGGAAAGTGACATGGCGAGGAGCAACTGAGTGGGGCGGGTAGGTACTGTTCCATTTCGCCCGCTGTGCCGAGTTGTACCTGCCGTCTATGTACCCTGCAACCATCACCTGGCCGTACCGGAACATTTCGTGCTCTTTGTCACAATGAACGAGAAGAGGCACGAAGCGCAAAGAACCGGCCCAAGGAAGCGGTTCACTTTTCAACTTCTGACTATGCTTTCTCATCACATCTTGAGGATCAAGAGAGAGTGCAGTCGTACATCCTCCCCAGGTTCCAGTAAGCCCCTCGTCAATGGACCCTTCGCCTCGGCAAGAGCCACCCGTGCGTGTGGGCGGCAGCATGTCTGGCAGACGCCTCTGGTGGGCAGGTTCGAGACAAAGTGGGTAGGTACGGCAAGGTGCCGGGGGGGGGGCTGCCACTAGGCTGGTATGGCCGATGGACAGGGAAGGCACAGTGGTCAACCCACCATCCATGCCGCTGCCCTCTGTATCAATCACTGTTGCGGGCGGGGACGGAGTGCCATGCGGGCAGCTACCACAGCGCGCACAACGACAGGAGTAACGGTGGGCAGGCTTTTACTAAGACGCCAATAGCACTGCGGTGCTCTGCTTCCCCCCCCACTGTCTTCACCTTCTTCATCCCACCACCGCCGCGCACAACTCCCCATCTTCTACCTTCTCACCTCACCTCACATCTTCTCACCATCACCCGGTCCATCTCCAACACCACCTCTCTTCCGCCCTCTCCCTCCTCCCCCTCCATCACCCATCTCTCGGCGCCCTCTTCACCTGACACGCCTCTCACGCCTCTTCTGTGCGCCTCCTCCTTGTCTTCACAATCACTTGTGAGTAATATCCCATACGTCCAAGAGCCGATCCCATCTCCAAGCGTCCAGATAGCCTTGCCCTTTGTCCACGATCATCCCCTGGCCTTTTGTCTACCGACACCAACAAGTGCCCGCTGTCACGGCAGCCTCGGACACCTCCCTTCTTACCCATCTATCTCCCAACGGCCGCAACGGTGGGCGATGGTACCCCCCCTTCTCTCCCTCTCGTCTTGCAGCAACAAGCCAAAGTGCCCGCACTTCCTGACCCCTACCTCACATCTGCCTTTGCAACACGCTTCATTCCTCCCGATCCCCAGGTAGAGGATCCCCCAACCCCGCCATTTCAAGTCGCCTACCTTACCCTCCCTTGTCTCGTCTTCCCGCGCCTCGCCTTACCTCACCACCACAATTTCGATGAGGGACTGACAAAAAAACACAGCGCCTCGCAAAATCCACCCCCGCCTCCAACGCCTCCCTTCGACCAAGACGCTCACGACAAGCTCAAGCAACAACCAGACAAGGCTTTGAACTTCGAAACTGTACGTGCAGACCCCTCTTTCACGCTTCAGATTCCTCCCCTTGATCCCTTTGGTCAAATTCCCCACCTCCTGCGAATTCCTTGACTGCAGCAGCGCATCTTCAGCGATCTGCAAGCCCGAATTTCCCCTCCCCCACGTGTCGCGGTCGCATTTTGCGACGGGCGCGTAATTTCCACAGCCCCGAGTGTTCGCTTTGCCTGTTTCGCAAACCCCACTCAACCTCGCTGGATCTTTCAACTCACCGCCAGTGCATTTGTGCGAAGACTTGATGCGCTTTTGACTGACACGCTTCAGCCGAATCACCAGCCGAGCAACATCTCGACTGCATCTTCGTACTTTCTCCACACTAAAATACTCCACGACTACCTCCGCGACAATGTCCTCCCAGGATATCCCTTCCAACGGCGACGACTTCGTTCCCCAGATGGACCAGCTCAAGCTCGACGATGGCGAGCGCCTCGGCCCAGACGGCGAGCCTGCGCCTAAGACCGAGGAGGAGTACGCCCAGGCGCAGCTCACTCTTCGCGCCATCGTTTCCTCTAAGGAGGCCGGTGTTATCATCGGCAAAGGAGGAAAGAACGTGGCTGACCTGAGGGACGAGACCGGCGTCAAGGCCGGCGTCAGCAAGGTTGTCCAGGGCGTCCACGACCGTGTTCTGACCATTACTGGCGGTTGCGAAGCCATCTCGCGCGCCTACGCGATTGTCGCACAAGCCCTTCTCGAGGGTGCTCCTTCCCTCGGCATGGGCGGCGTTCCCCAGAGCAATGGCACCCACCGTATGTGACCAGGAAACCACAAGCGCGCGCTGCATTGCTAATTTATGTCGGCAGCCATCAAGCTCCTCATCTCGCACAACCAGATGGGCACCATCATTGGTCGCCAGGGCTTGAAGATCAAGCACATTCAGGACGTCTCGGGTGTGCGCATGGTGGCACAGAAGGAGATGCTCCCTCAGTCTACTGAGAGGATCGTTGAGGTGCAGGGCACCCCCGATGGCATCAGAGCCGCCATCTGGGAGATTTCCAAATGCCTCGTCGATGATTGGCAGCGTGGAACCGGCACCGTCCTGTACAACCCTGTCGTTCGTACCCAGCCTGGTAGCACCCCCGCTGTTGGCGGCACAAGCCCCAGCTACCCCTCTACCGGCGGCGGCCGGAGCCAAGAATACAGCAGCCCTCGTGTCCTTCGCACCGGCAATGGCGCCGATTTCAGCAGCAACGGTGGTGGCCAGCGCCCTTACAGCCGCCGTTCCGATTCAGACGCTGCCTCCCGTGGACCTCCCACTCACGATGAGAATGGCGAGGAACTGCAGACTCAGAACATCAGCATCCCCGCTGACATGGTTGGCTGCATCATCGGCCGTGCCGGCAGTAAGATCAGCGAGATTCGCAAGACATCTGGGGCTCGCATCTCCATTGCCAAGGCAAGTTACATTGCTTGATTCAGCTTGATGCCCCCCTTTCACTCATAAACTAACACACAATGCAGGCCCCCCATGACGAGACTGGTGAGCGTATGTTCACCATTATGGGTACCAGCAAGGCCAATGAGTCGGCTCTCTTCCTCCTCTACGAGAACCTCGAGGCTGAGAAGATGCGCCGTAGCCAGGCTCAGACCTCTGAGTAGGCTTCTGACATATGTATCTTACTCGATTCTGCGTTTTGCGATTCCCTGGGCTTTTTTTTTCGTCGGATACTGCAAACCTCCGGTAGGGCGATATCCAGATCTGACTTGCCGCGAGGCTGCCCTATATGCTTGATAGGGAGTGCGGAAATCATACGACGTCATGACAACTCCCTGAACTCCTCTCCCACGGACCTCTTGACTCTTTCAAACACGAAACCGTATTCCTGGCCACACTCTCTCTCGTCCCTGCTCCCGAGGCTCGCTCTCCCAGCACCGACCGTGGCTTCCCCGATCGAGCCTCGGCCTCCGCCTTCCGTAATCCACCGTCCGTTTCTTTTCATGGCAGCTCTGGTCACAGCTGCAACAAGCCCTGAACCTGACTCAACAACCGACCCTCGCAGGTGCACCGAAGACCGCCATTCCGCAGGCCATCGCTATTCGCTGTCCGAGGAGCAGTTTGACTTCGCTGGCCTCTGTGGGACGTTCTCTCTCACGACGTGATGAACAAAACACCACCTTACTCGCGGGGGGGTACCTCTCATACACCTTGGCTTCGGCATCTTTAATCGAACACTACACCCTGCTCCTTCTTTTCCTCTCACTTATCTACCTGCGCGCGCACACATGCAAACACAGACTCTCTCTCTCTCTCCCTTACTACCTCAGACGGACACCCAGGACGTCTGTCTTTTTACCCTCGCTGTGCCAACATACCCAGACAACCGGCCTCTCGCCTGATCAAGCTCATCAGAATATTGATGCACCCTGGCTCTACCTTGTCGAGGCATGCTCCGGATTTCCTCGACAATTGGTGAGATGGGATTTATTTAGCAGAGAACGAGGAAATGCAAAACTTTGAGCACCCGTCGTAGCACAATGTGAATCAAGTAGAGTCCCTGTCGATTTGCGAAATGGCTGCCTGTGGAGACGTGCTAAGCCGAAAAGCCTTATCCGTGGATGCGGATCGAGGACCCTGAAGGCGCCAAGCATGTGACCCATATTAATATTCTGGGGATCGAGCTTCCGTTCCTGGACCAGGGATGAAGCCAACTGTCATCTCATTCTGTCCCCGCGATTCAACAATACTATGCAGCGTCGGCCCTTCGATTCTGTCACTCATTAAATCTAGCCTTTCTCTCTCTCTCTCTCTTTCTCTCTCATTCTCGGCCGAGACCGAAACATTTGCATACCTTTCAATGCCCTTGGTTTATCTTCCTTGTTGATTGCAAAGGACCATAGAGCGTCAACATCTGTAATGGCGCGCACGAAGCAAGCCACGCCCCTCCGGCGCGAGACGTCTTCGGAGTACTTTAGCAAGAACGATGCCCTCAAGCGCACCGTCAGTGGCGAGTCGCCGAAGCCCTCGAATGGCGTGACGACTAAGGGAGTGCCCCCAGCCGCTGCGTCGCCGCCGCCAAAGCAGGAGCCTGCTGCCGCATTCCAGGTCCTTGTCGCGACTGGCGGCATCTACATGTCCTTGTACGTTGTGTCTTCGTGGCTCCATGGCCATGGTCGCCAAATGTTGATTGCTAACATGTGTCCAAAAGTCTGACTTGGGCTTACCTCCAGGAAAAGCTCACGACAACCCCCTATGGACCGACCGACGCGCCCGAAGTCTTCCGCTACCCCGTATTCCTGAACACAATCCAATCTCTGTTTGCTGCCGCGACAGGCTTCCTATACCTCTACTGGAGCACTGCGCGTGCGCCCCGCGCTGCAGGTACTCCTCTTGTCCTCCCAGCGATCTTTCCGAGCCGACAGATTGCTCTTCCTCTCCTCCTTGTCGCCATCACGTCGTCTCTCGCCTCGCCATTTGGCTACGCATCGCTCTCCCACATCGACTACATTACCTTCCTTCTCGCCAAGTCCTGCAAGCTTCTCCCTGTCATGCTTCTGCAGACGACCCTCTTCGGCCGCCGCTACCCGTTGTACAAGTACCTCGTCGTGGCAGGCGTCACAGCGGGCGTCGCGGTCTTCACGCTGCACACGGGCTCGGGCAAGAAGAAGAAGCAGAGCGCCGCCAACCCGGACGCCAACACGGCCTGGGGCCTGCTGCTGCTGAGCGTCAACCTCATCTTCGACGGCCTTACCAACACGACGCAGGACCACATCTTCAGCACCTACCGCGCCTACTCGGGCCCGCAGATGATGTGCGCCAACAACATCCTCTCGAGCGCCCTGACGGCCGGCTACCTTGTGCTGAGCCCCTGGCTCGTCCGCACCGGTCTCGGCGCCTGGCTCGGCATGGACGCTGCCGGCGGCGGCGGCGAGCTCGCGGCCGCCCTCGACTTCATGGCCCGCTACCCGGCCGTCTGGGTTGACGTCCTCGGCTTCGCCGCCTGCGGCGCCGTCGGCCAGGTCTTCATCTTCTACACCCTGTCCACCTTCTCGTCCGTCCTGCTCGTCACCGTCACCGTCACGCGCAAGATGGTCACCATGGCCCTGTCCGTCTTTGCCTTTGGCCACCGCCTCACTGGCATGCAGTGGCTCGGCGTCGGGCTCGTCTTTGGCGCCATTGGCGCCGAGGCGCGCATCGCCACGGTCGAGAAGCAGAAGAAGGCGGCGGCGGCCAAGAAGGCGCAGTGAGCCGAAGAAAAGGGGGTTCGTACAGAGTAGAGAGTGCATTGGTCTGCGTGGCATGTGCAGACCACGCAAACAAGCCGTCGGGTGACAGCTGCACAGGCTGGCCGTGGAGGTGTAGACGGCAATCGCGTCAAAATGAGCATGAATACGGCGTAAGGAGTTTCGATATAGCCGTGGCAGCCAACACCCGAGATGGAATGGCGGCCTCTGAAGGCGCATAGAGTATGTTGGCAGACGGGGCGGGGGCGGACTCAATATAACAGTATTGGACCTTCAAAGTATCAGTCAATAGCAATTAAGAGCAATCAAGAGTTTAAACGAATGTAGTTTGCACACTCGAGGCGTGTTCTCATTTCTCAGGTATCTCCTTCCCTACCATGCCGTCCTGCTGCTCGACCGGATATATACCCCGCAGGCAAAATAGCCTCTACTATCCTAACCGCCTCTCCTGCTGCCTTCGGCATCATCCCCGTCGTGACCCGAACCCCAGCCGGCGGGCAAAGCCGGCGTGGTCGTATGCTTTACTCTTTTCCCAAGGTCAACACGAACGCTGGCATCCACGGTACTGTGGGCCGTGCGATCGGGACTTTAAATACTCCTCTGAACGCCCTCCTATTACAAAACAAAGAAAAAGGGGGAACAACGCAGGCCTCCTTTTGCTCCGGCTTCGAATCATGCTTCGCAACCGGCAATTGTAAATTACACATTGGTGTGTGAGTCTTGTTTGTCTCGTGCCGCAATAAGCTAACAGAAACACCCTATTCGCCGCCCGCTGTGCTGCAGAAAACTGCACGAACAAAAGGAATGAGAAAGAAAATGAGCGATGTGCACCACGACATGCCTCTTCGGGGTAGTAGCGAGTCCATAGAAGATCAACTTCAGTGTCCTCTTTCAGCTCACGGACATCTTCATGTCTCAAAGGATTTCGTCGATGGACCGAACGATGGGTGTTTCGCCCTTCGTCGGCGGGCTTCTAGGGTCGGCAACTTGTGGCGGGCGAGCGAACGGAAAGTGAGGGTCACGCGGGAACATGGTTTCTCGCGGCGAAAAAAGACCATCGCATGGTGTTGGTGGAACCTCAACAAATTGCATGCCCGCAATATTATGGCATGGCTCATGCAGCGGGTTGTTGGTCATCGTCTCAGCCCGAGGCGACATGAGGGCGTTGTCCTCGGGGAAAGCGCCGAGTGGTGTGACCTCATGTTCGATTGGCGCTGGCGGGCCCATTGGCCTAAGCTCGGGCGAGGAGCCTAGATTGAGACTCGCAAAGGCAAACCCAGCCTGCGATCCGAATCGATGGCTGCCGAACCCAGGAGAAGGCGGGGGCTTCATCATAATGCTTTGCGGCTTATCGTTCGAGACATCGTGACCAAAGATTGCAGGCTGATTAATTGATGGAAGTAAGCGATCGAAATCGAAGTGGGCAGGCTTGCCAAAGTCCTGTTTCTCTGCTGCTGGTGAGCAGCAAAAGCTTGCGGGGGCCGAGTACGCCTTGACAGGGTTCGGCCGGTTGTTGCTAGGGTTCGAGAATCTGCGCGCCCTCCTTGGGCTGCCATTACCAGCGACGCCGCCCATTGAGTTCTTCTCCTGCTCGTTGGGAAGAGGAGCGGTCCTGGGAGCGGTCCGCGCCTCCTTTGCTGGACTCTCAATGGCGTCGGCGGAGAGGGTCAGTCGATGCTTAGTTGGGCTCTTGCCGGAGCGAGGACGGAATGCGGAACCAGGCGCAGGTTTTCTCGCAGACACCTCCTTCTGGAAATCTTGCAAGCAGTACATGAGCTTCATGTTGGGACTGATCCACTTGCTCTTCGCCTGAGCGGCATAGTAAGCATCGTTGACACTGAGCTCGGGCTTCTTATATAGTCCGTAGGCAATGATGAGACTCGCGGAGCGACTCGCGCCCTGCTGGCAGTGAATCAGGACCTTCTTGCCCTCCCTCGTCCTCGATTCGATCGTCTCGCAAAGCTGCATGAGGTCTTTCGCGATATCCGTATTGTGGTCCCAAAGCATGTGTATGTACTCAGGCTGCTTCTGGGGAAATCCAACGGCCCGGGGCGTCGTTGGAGTATCCATGGGGCGATTGTCTGAAGGCTGGAACTCAAATGCTGTCGCAAAACTGGCGCTGGTTACCGCGGTATCGGGGATGGGGCTGTCGTCGGCAGCCTCCATGGGCCTGTCGGTCATCTCGTGATCCGCTTTGTGTGCAGCGCTGAAGGGGTTGATGACCTCACGGGCAACATTGATGACCGTGTCGAACCTGGCTGCCTCATCCGCCGATGGCTCGAGATACAGGAAGACATTGTCGTCATAGATAGCGATAGGTCCGTCAGGGTACCCGGGTGTCTTTTGGTCTTCGTTTTGTTCGATTTCATGGAAGGGCTCGGCATCCATCGCGGCTCGGTTTGCCATTTGAGTTCGAATTGGCGATTCCTCCTCAGTGATGGGTGCCTCAAAGGTCGCGCCAATGCCCGTCCTCGTTGGCCTCAGAAGCTCGGAAAGCCCTGACTCGTTGCGCTCAAGAACCTTGGGGAAACTCATGCCTCCGATTGGTCCTAATGACGCTGATTTGAGTCCCGTCAGCATATGGGGCGATGAGGTCGAATGTTTTAATGCGCGACGTTGCAAGATGGGTGGCAGAGCCGGCGTGCTGGGAACTTCCAGAGTGGTTCTCGCGATGAGATCGGTCGAGTTCGTCTTGAGGCTAAGCTGACTAGGTTTCCTCTTCATTCCGGGTATCGTAGGCTTGATGAAGGACGGCGAGGCAGGTTCGGACGTGACTTGGTTCGTCGTGTTGACGACGCCGGTGTTGATACTGGGTGGCTGAATGGATAGGCCCTTCATGTTTTTGGGGCGACGAGGGGCAGGAGATGTCATGGGTCGGCCTGTGCTCAGAGCACTTAAGCTTTCGGGAATGGTGAGAGTGTTCAGGGGCGGTAGAGCGCCAAAGGATGTTGCGGGGAAGGACGATAGAGGTATGAGGTTGATGGGCGAATCGGGAGAGGAAGACGGCGAGGGGTCAGACAAGGAAGACGAGTCGGTTATGGAGAGAGTCGTCGTCGGCGACGACTCTGCTGATTCGGAGGCCTGTGTTGATGTGCTGTCGTGGTGCTTGTGGTGGATTGAATCAGAAGGTATTGTGGCGGGACGTAGATGCTGCGAAGGCATGGGGTTTCCGAGTGATGGAGCGCACGAAGTCTCCATCTCGATCATCTTGGGGTTGACAACCGTGACCGTGTCACGGTCTGCCATGGTCTCCGCGTCCAAGTCAAAGACAGCCATGAAGGGTGGTATCTGATCCTCGTAAAACCGCCTGGCTGCGGCCGAAGGCATGATTCACGACTGACGCGAGCGGATTCGATGCTCTCCGGATAGTCAAGTACGTCTGTTGAGTCGTGTATGAAATGGGTCGAACGTATTAAGGAAAAATTCGCTGGATATGGGTATCAAGGAGTGGCGTGCGAAGAGATGGCTGGTGGGTAGAGGTGGGCGGACAGCACTGCTGAATCCTGTGGTTTCTTCTAGCTTCGCACACGAGTTCGCGTTGTAAAGGGCAGTGGGTGCCCGTGTGTTCTGGGACTGTTTCTCTCTGTTCTGCTCCGTTCTTTGATCGACAACAAGGAATCGACAATCGAGGACGCTGTGAGTAATGATACCAGCACTGAAAGCCGCCGAGGGTGTAGGGAGCGAGGCGAGGCGAGACGGTCGAATCAATCGCGATCGAGGTCGTGGAAGGCGTACTAAGTTTCTCGTGGGATCGAGGCTCGAAGGAAGAAGGAAGAAGACAAGTGAGGAGGGATGAACAATGACTCCAACCGAACACAACCCGTCTTGACTGAGAATCTCGTGGCACCGTCACAATAAACGCATGGCCAGGCTTTCGGGTTTGAAGTGGAAGAAGGTGTCGGGAGGAGGAGGGAAGGTCAAAGTGGGTGAGGACTCGTGAGAAAGAGGGATGGACGACCAAGAGTGGGAGGGTGTGTCAGGGACCACAGGCAGGCGGCACGGGCAACAGAGGATACGGGAATGGCTGGCTTGCAAGGCAATTGGGGGCACAGCCATCGGTGCTGGGTAGGTACTCGGGTAGGTACCTGAGGTAGGTAGGTAACATGGCCGCATGGGCATGTCGGTCGCTCTTGGCCTGCGAGCGCGCTCTGCCCCATACCTGTACCGTACGGGCGCGGGCTCGGCCTGCGCTACAGTACGGGTTCTGACAGACCAGCGCTGGAGGTGCCGCTGCGCTACCTGGACTACGAACAGGGGGGGAGGGGGCGCCCGGGGGGTTTTGGGGCAGCAGACAGTGGACCAGGGGAGAAGGGGGGGAGGGGGAAAGGGCGAGGCATCAGGGGACAGGGGGCGCAGGGGCTCCCATCCGCATGTTGCTAGGCCTACCGTACGCCCCAAGGGAGCTTAGCGCCGAAGATGGCCACCTGGGCAGTGGGAACTCCAGCACTTCGATGATCAGAGGCGCTGAGTGGTCAGCTCCGGTCGTTAAAGCGGATCCGGTCGAGGTGGATGCCGCCCGTCTGCGGTCTGTGACTGGCCAGCAACTGCGAAACATGTGAGCCACCCTATTTTTAGCTCTCTCGGTCGTCAAGCAGGAGCGCAGCTGGCGGCAAAGTCAAGCCAATGAGCAGCCTTCGTATAAATTTGGCCAGTCAAGGATGCCGAGTGGATACACTCGGTGGCCCATCATCCTTTCATCCTCGACGACGAGCTCCCCTCGCTCGTTCTTGGGATTAGCTGGCGCACTCAATCCGCAATGGAACCTTGGGCCTTGGTCGCGCACACCTAGAACACTTGGCCTTTTGTTACGAATCATGGTACTTACTGCATATGTGTGGTGAGCACCACAGACACAGTATGAATGAATGGGGCAAGCCAGCATACCTCCCCCCAAAAACGGGCAAACAGCTCGTAACGCCGTCTCGTTGAAAACCCTTCTCCGCCTTCTCGTGTCCGTACTAGCCTGCGAGATCCATTCGGGGCGTCCGTCGTCGAGAACGATC